AAAGTTAAAGTTTTAAAGTTAAAGTTAATTAAAGTAAATTAAATTTAAATTTAATTAATTTAAATTAAATTTAAAGTTAATTAAATTTAATGTTAACTTTAAAGTTTAAATTTAATTAAATTAAATTTAAATTAACTAACTTTAAATTAAAGTTAAATTTAAAGATAACCTTAACATTTACAATTAACATTAACTTTAAATCTTAACTTTAAAATTTTAAATTTAAATTTCCTTAAATTAACTTAAACTTAACTTAAACTATCAATAATTAACCTTTAAATTTAAATTAAATTTAACTATAAACTTTATACCTTTAACTTTAACCCTTAAAATAACCTTAACTTTACTTAAAAATTAACCTAACCTTTAACTTTACATTAACCTTTACTATCCTAACCATAACCTAACACTTAACCTAACTAATCCATTTAAATTTAAATTCTAACTTTAACTTTACACTTTACAATTACCTACCCTTTAACTTAACTAACTTTAACTAAATTAAATTACACTTAACCTTAACTATAACCCTTAACCTTAACATCCCTAACCCTAACTCTTAACCTTACCTAACCCTTACCCTAACCCTAACCCTAATAACCTAACTAACCTAACTAACCTTAACTAACTTCCTAACCTCTAACCCTAACCTAACCTAACCTTCTAACCCTTAACATAACCTTTCACTAACAACTAACAATAACTAACCATAACCTAACCCTTAACACTAACCCTAACCTACCTAACCCTAACCTCTAACTACCTAACTCTCCTAACCCTAAACCCTTAAACCTAACCACTAACCTAACCCTACCCTAACCCTAACCCTAACCCTATACCTAACCACTACCCTAACCCTACACCCTAACCCAAACCCTAACCCTAACCCTAACCCTAACCCTAACCCTAACACTACCCAACCACAAACCCTAACCCTAACCCAAACCTAACCACACCCAAACCCTAACCCTAACCACTAACCTACCCTACCCTAACCCTAACCCTAACCCAACACCTAACCCTAACCCAACCCTAACCACCAACCCTACCCTAACCCAACCCTACACCCACACCCACACACAACCCACACTACCCACCCACAACCAACCCTAACCCTAACCCAACCCTAACCACCTAACACCTACCCACCACCAAACCCTAACCCTAACCCTACCCACACCAACACCAAACCCACCACACACCCAACCTAACCCTAACCCTACACCCTACCCTAACCCTAACCCTAACCCTAACCTAACCCTAACCCTAACCCAACCCTACACCCACCACCCAAACCACCACACAAACCCACACACCCAACACCACCCAACCACCACACCCAACACCTAACCCAACCCCAACCCTAACCCAACCCTAACCCAACCCTAACCAACCCTAACCCAACCCTAACCCAAACCCAACCCTAACCCTACCCAACACCTAACCCAACCCACCTAACCCTAACCCAAACCCAACACACCCTAACCCTAACCTAACCCTAACCCTAACCCTAACCCTAACCCCTAACCCAACCCAAACCCCCAACCCTAACCTACACCAACCCTACCCACCCAACCCTACCCTAACCAACCCCACCCAACCCAACCACAACCCACCCAACCCTAACCCTAACCCTAACCCTAACCCTAACCCTAACCCTAACCCTAACCCTAACCCTAACCCTAACCCTAACCCAACCTAACCCTAACCCTAACCCTAACCCTAACCCTAACCCTAACCCTAACCCTAACCCTAACCCTAACCCTAACCCTAACCCTAACCCTAACCCTAACCCTAACCCTAACCCTAACCCTAACCCTAACCCTAACCCTAACCCTAACCCTAACCCTAACCCTAACCCTAACCCTAACCCTAACCCTAACCCTAACCCTAACCCTAACCCAACCTAACCCTAACCCTAACCCTAACCCTAACCCTAACCCTAACCCTAACCCTAACCCTAACCCTAACCCTAACCCTAACCCTAACCCTAACCCTAACCCTAACCCTAACCCTAACCCTAACCCTAACCCTAACCCTAACCCTAACCCTAACCCTAACCCTAACCCTAACCCTAACCCTAACCCTAACCCTAACCCTAACCCTAACCCTAACCCTAACCCTAACCCTAACCCTAACCCTAACCCTAACCCTAACCCTAACCCTAACCCTAACCCTAACCCTAACCCTAACCCTAACCCTAACCCTAACCCTAACCCTAACCCTAACCCTAACCCTAACCCTAACCCTAACCCTAACCCTAACCCTAACCCTAACCCTAACCCTAACCCTAACCCTAACCCTAACCCTAACCCTAACCCTAACCCTAACCCTAACCCTAACCCTAACCCTAACCCTAACCCTAACCCTAACCCTAACCCTAACCCTAACCCTAACCCTAACCCTAACCCTAACCCTAACCCTAACCCTAACCCTAACCCTAACCCTAACCCTAACCCTAACCCTAACCCTAACCCTAACCCTAACCCTAACCCTAACCCTAACCCTAACCCTAACCCTAACCCTAACCCTAACCCTAACCCTAACCCTAACCCTAACCCTAACCCTAACCCTAACCCTAACCCTAACCCTAACCCTAACCCTAACCCTAACCCTAACCCTAACCCTAACCCTAACCCTAACCCTAACCCTAACCCTAACCCTAACCCTAACCCTAACCCTAACCCTAACCCTAACCCTAACCCTAACCCTAACCCTAACCCTAACCCTAACCCTAACCCTAACCCTAACCCTAACCCTAACCCTAACCCTAACCCTAACCCTAACCCTAACCCTAACCCTAACCCTAACCCTAACCCTAACCCTAACCCTAACCCTAACCCTAACCCTAACCCTAACCCTAACCCTAACCCTAACCCTAACCCTAACCCTAACCCTAACCCTAACCCTAACCCTAACCCTAACCCTAACCCTAACCCTAACCCTAACCCTAACCCTAACCCTAACCCTAACCCTAACCCTAACCCTAACCCTAACCCTAACCCTAACCCTAACCCTAACCCTAACCCTAACCCTAACCCTAACCCTAACCCTAACCCTAACCCTAACCCTAACCCTAACCCTAACCCTAACCCTAACCCTAACCCTAACCCTAACCCTAACCCTAACCCTAACCCTAACCCTAACCCTAACCCTAACCCTAACCCTAACCCTAACCCTAACCCTAACCCTAACCCTAACCCTAACCCTAACCCTAACCCTAACCCTAACCCTAACCCTAACCCTAACCCTAACCCTAACCCCCAGTGTCTAAGTCTAAGCCCCGTCTAAGTCTAAGTCTAACCCCCAGTGTCTAAGTCTAAGCCCCGTCTAAGTCTAAGTCTAACCCCCAGTGTCTAAGTCTAAGCCCCGTCTAAGTCTAAGTCTAACCCCCAGTGTCTAAGTCTAAGCCCCATCTAAGTCTAAGTCTAAGTCTAACCCTTAGATACTAAGTCTTTGTCTAGAGTCTAACCCCCAGTGTCTAAGTCTAACCCTAAGCCCCATCTAAGTCTTTGTCTAAGTCTAACCCCCAGTGTCTAAGTCTTTGTCTATGTCTTTGTCTAAGTCTAACCCCCAGTGTCTAAGTCTAACCCTAAGCCCCATCTAAGTCTTTGTCTAAGTCTAACCCCCACTGTCTAAGTCTAAGTCTAACCCCCAGTGTCTAAGTCTAAGTCTAGCCCCCGTCTAAGTCTACCACCCTCCACACCTACCTTTCTCACCTACCTTCCAGTGTCCTTCCAGCCGTTGCCGTGACAAAGCAAGACACACAACATACGTGCATTGTTTAACTGTTTGTTTATTACAGCGCTGTTTCCACAAGGCATGACTCATACAATCATATACATACGTGCTATACCAGCAACTACACATTGAGAAGCAAAACATGTAATGAATATGGATCTCTGATTCCAAGACTTAGTTTATAGGCGCAGCATCCACACATTCTGTACATGGCACAACACAGTTTACAGGCGCAACTTAACACATATTGCATATATGGCACGACGCAATTTACAGGCGCAGCACACGCATACGCAGTACACTTTAAGACATGGTTCACATAGATGTCAGACCAACCAGAGAAAGGGTACAAAGCCTCCACACCCCATTAGTGACACCACACTTGTGAGAATGTTGCATACTGCAACCCACCTCAAAAGCAGTGCAGATCTCAGCCCACCCAAAGACATTGCAATTCTCAGAACGGCCACAAAGGGGCGCGAGTCTCAGACTGGCCGGGAGGAACAAAATCGCCTCCGACGGCCCTTGGTTACGGGGTTGGGGTAGCCCTGCCTAGGAGCAAACAAAGCAAGGCTAGCCCAACCCCGTAACCAAGGCAAAGCTAAAGCCAATTTGGCTTACATTAATCGAATGTAAAGCTAAAGCCAATTTGGTTGAAGCCAATTGAATGCAAAACCAAAGCCAATTTGGTTCAAGTCAATTGAATGCAAAGCTAAAGCCAATTTGGTTGAAGCCAATTGAATGCAAGGCTAAAGCCAATTCGGTTGAGATAAATTGAACGCACATGCTGAAATCAGCACAACTCTCAAAATGGCCGCAATGGGGCGCGAGTCTCAGACTGGCCGGGAAGGAACAAAATCGCCTCCAACGGCCCTTGGTTACGGGGTTGGGGTAGCCCTGCCTAGGAACAAACAAAGCAAGGCTAGCCCAACCCCGTAACCAAGGCAAAGCTAAAGCCAATTTGGTTTACATTAATTGAATGTAAAGCTAAAGCCAATTTGGTTGAAGTCAATTGAATGTAAAACTAAAGCCAATTTGGTTTACATTAATTGAATGTAAAGCTAAAGCCATTTGGTTGAAGCCAATTGAATGCAAGGCTAAAGCCAATTTGGTTGAAGTCAATTGAAAGCAAAGCTAAAGCCAATTTGGTTGATGCAAAATGATTGCAAGGCTAAAGCCAATTTGGTTGAGATAAATTGAACGCAGATGCTGAAATCAGCACAACTCTCAAAATGGCCGCAATGGGGCGCGAGTCTCAGACTGGCCGGGAGGAACAAAATCGCCTCCAACGGCCCTTGGTTACGGGGTTGGGGTAGCCCTGCCTAGGAACAAACAAAGCAAGGCTAACCCAACCCCGTAACCAAGGCAAAGCTAAAGCCAATTTGGCTTACATTAATCGAATGTAAAGCTAAAGCCAATTTGGTTGAAGCCAATTGAATGCAAGGCTAAAGCCAATTTGGTTGAAGTCAATTGAATGCAAAGCTAAAGCCAATTTGGTTGAAGTCAATTGAATGCAAAGCCAAAGCCAATTTGGTTGAAGTCAATTGCATGTAAAGCTAAAGCCAATTTGGTTGAAGCCAATTGAATGCAAAGCTAAAGCCAATTTGGTTGATGCAAAATGATTGCAAGGCTAAAGCCAATTTGGTTGAGATAAATTGAACGCAGATGCTGAAATCAGCACAACTCTCAAAATGGCCGCAATGGGGCGCGAGTCTCAGACTGGCCGGGAAGGAACAAAATCGCCTCCAACGGCCCTTGGTTACGGGGTTGGGGTAGCCCTGCCTAGGAGCAAACAAAGCAAGGCTAGCCCAACCCCGTAACCAAGGCAAAGCTAAAGCCAATTTGGCTTACATTAATTGAATGTAAAGCTAAAGCCAATTTGGATGAAGTCAATCGAATGTAAAGCTAAAGCCAATTTGGTTGAAGCCAATTGAATGCAAGGTTAAAGCCAATTTGGTTGAAGTCAATTGAATGCAAAGCCAAAGCCAATTTGGTTGAAGTCAATTGCATGTAAAGCTAAAGCCAATTTGGTTGAAGCCAATTGAATGCAAAGCTAAAGCCAATTTGGTTGAAGTCAATTGAATGCAAAGCTAAAGCCAATTTGGTTGATGCAAAATGATTGCAAGGCTAAAGCCAATTTGGTTGAGATAAATTGAACGCAGATGCTGAAATCAGAGCAACTCTCAAAATGGCCGCAATGGGGCGCGAGTCTCAGACTGGCCGGGAAGGAACAAAATCGCCTCCAACGGCCCTTGGTTACGGGGTTGGGTTAGCCCTGCCTAGGAGCAAACAAAGCAAAGCTAGCCCAACCCCGTAACCAAGGCAAAGCTAAAGCCAATTTGGCTTATATTAATTGAATGTAAAGCCAAAGTCAATTTGGTTGAAGCCAATTGAATGCAAAACCAAAGCCAATTTGGTTGAAGTCAATTGAATGTAAAGCTAAAGCCAATTTGGTTGAAGTCAATTGAATGCACATGCTGAAATCAGAGCAACTCTCAAAATGGCCACAAAGGGGCAGGAGTCTGAAAATGGCCTGGAAGGAACGCAGATGGCATCAGAAGGAAGCGTTGATTGGCCTGGGAGCAGAAGGGCCCTCAGGAAGGGTGCGGGTGGGTTGGATCGCTGGGCTGAGGCCGATGGGATGAACTGCAATGAGACCGAGCGCCGCATCCCGCACGCTGCCTGCGATGACCTTTGTAGTGGCTTGTGGCAGAGTGACGGGAAGATCATGGAAAGGGAACGGAGCGGGGATTCGGGTAACGGTTGACCGAACCGAGCTGGCGGTGAGTGTGGGAGGCCTGGAAAGCCAATGGCGTCGCAGGGGGGAAGTCATCGACTGGAAGCGTCGAAGGCATCTTCACCTGTAATACAGAGACACGCTTTAGAAGGAGGAACGCCGAGACCCAAACGGTGCTCACCGTCAGCCCACCCCCACAAAATGTGGAAGCCAAACACCGCTCTAAGAAAAGGCTTCAGAGTAAGGTTAGGAGTATTTAACAGGAAAGGTGTTAAGGTTAGGTACATCAGGATTAGGGTTAGAGTGACCGTTAGGGAAGGCCAAGGCAAAGGCAGGAGCAAAAGGCAAGGAGAACAGCCGAGGGAACGCCAAAACAGAGGGCAAAGGGATGGGAAAGACATGGAGAACGCCAAAGGTCGCGTCAGAGGTCAGGCCCAAGAAGAAGGCCGCAGAGAACGCCAGAATGGAGACCAAAGAGATCAACACAGAAGGCCAAAATGGAGGGCGAGGTCCGTGAGAACGCTGCAGGGAAGGCCGATGCAGAAGGTCAAGGGCAATGGCCAAAGAGAATGCGGCACAAAAGGCCAAAACCAAAGGCAAAGAGAATGCTGTAGGAGAAGACAAAACAAGAGGCCAAAGGGAATGGGCAAAGAAGGCCAGGAGCAATGGCCAAAAAGAACATGGAAGGGAACGCCAAAATAGAAGCCAAAGAGAACGCCGCAGGGAACGCCAGAACAGGAGGCCAAAGGAAATGGGGCAAAGACGGCCGAGGGCAACGGCCAAAGAGAACGCAGCCAGGAACGCCAGAACTGAAGGCCAAAATAATGCTGTAGGGAACGCCAGAACGGGAGGGAAAGTGAACGTGGCAAAGAAGGCCAAGGACAAAGGCCAAGGGAATGTGGCACAGATGGCCAAAGCCGAAGGCCAAAGAAAACACAGTGAAGGTGGCCAAGGGCAAACGGCCAAGAGAATGCCACAGGGAACGCCAAAACAGGAGGGCAAGAGAACGCAGCAGGGAAAGCCAAGAGCAAGGAGAACGCTGCAGTGAAAGGCTGGAGGCGAGGAGAACACAGAAAGAAAAGGACAGGCAGCATCCAGGGCACCGTGAAGTGCAGAAATGAGCTCTGTGAACCCTACCTTGTGCCTCGCTAAGTAATGAGTAAACACCGGTGGGTGAGCATCGCCCTTACCTGCTGGGCAGACAATTACCGGCCAGCAAAGCGGGGTTCCGGGCATCCCAGGAAATGCAGATTCCGGTTCCTTGCTGCTGCCTGAAGAGCCGCGCATCTCCGTGCTGTCCTTATAGCGCTCAGGAGCAACGCAACTCTGCTGCCACCTGTGGGACACAACGCAGTAATGAAGGCGCTGCCCCGCATGTGTGGGGCTGCACCCTGAGCACAATGCTGTAATGATGACACAAGGGTTGTAATTAATTATAATTAACGTTAGGGATAGAATTAATGGTATTGATAGGGTTGAAGTTACAGATGGTCTAACATCAGTATTCTGCACTACAATTAGGGTTATTTGACAAAACATGGGGCATTATTTTTACGGCAGCATTCAGGGTAAGAGACATTTTCAACACTGGGTTAAGGGTTTGGTCTACAGATACGCTGCAGGTTAACAAAGTTATCGTTAGAACTCCCATTCAGCTGTGGGTTTAGGTCGAGGGTAACATTAATGCTGCCTCCCAGCTCACGCTAGAGTGCTAAAGGCAAAGGGAAGCAGGACACCCAGGGCAGGCAAAGGAAAGCAGAACTCCCGTGGAAAGCCAAGGTAAATGCAAAGCAAACAGCCAAGCTAAGGCAAGGGCAAAAGCAAAGAGAGCACCGATGGAAAGCCAAGGGGAGGGCAAAGAGACCGCAGCAGGAAAGGCCAAGGGCAACGGCCAAAAGAACGCAGCACAAAATGCCAAAACAGAAGGCCGAGGGAGCACGGCATGGAATGCCCAGGAAAGGGCTAAGAAAACATGGCAGGAAGTGCCAGAACAGGAGGGCAAGAGAACGCTGCCGGGAACGCCAAAATCAAATGGTGAAGAGAATGTGGCTACAGAAAGCCAAGGGCAATGGCCAAGAGAACATAGCATGGGACACAATAACAGGGGGGCAAGGGAATGCCCAGACAAGGGCAAGGGCCAAGAGAACGTGGAAGGAAATGCCAAGGATGATGGCCAAGAGAACACGGCAAGAAACGCCAAAACAGGAGGGCAGGAGAACGCAGCAGGGAACGCCAAAACTGAATGCTGAAGTGAATATGGCAAAGAAAGCCAAGGGCAACGGCCAAGAGAACCCAGCATGGAACACAAAAACAGGAGGACAAGAGGATGCCCAACCAATGGCAACGGCTAAGAGAACATGGAAGGAAATGCCAGAACAGGAGGGCGAGAGAACGCGGCACGGAACGCCAAAACTGAATGCTGAAGTGAATGCGGCAAAGAAAGGCAAGGGCAGCGGCCAGGAGAACGTGGCATGGAACACAAAAACAGGAGGGCAAGAGAATGGAGTAGGGAACAGCAAGGGCAAAGGGAATGAAAACGCTGCAGTGAAAGGCCGGAGACAAGGAGAACACAGAAAGAAAAGGACAGGCAGCATCCAGGGCACCACGAAGTGCAATGAAGAGCTGTGGGAGCACCGTGCTGTGCCATGCTAGGGAATGGGTAAACACTGGTGGGTGTGCATTGCCCTTACCTGCTGGGCAGACAATTACCAGCCAGCAAAGCGGGGTTCCGGGCATTCCAGGAAATGCAGATTCCGGTTCCTTGCTGCTCCCATAAGAGCCACGCATCTCCATGCGGTCGTTACGGCACTCGGGAGCGCCGCAGCCTGCTCCCACCTGTGGGACACAACGCAGTAATGAAGGCACTGCCCTGCAGATGCGCCTCTTTCACAAACCTGCACTCCTTTCTCTGATCAACGTGGCTGCGCTCTGCGCACGATGCTGCTTACCAGCAGCACTGAGCTGGGAACAACAGATAAGGAGAAGGCTCAGGTACCCAACAACATCCATCTTCCATCTTCTCTGATAACTGCTCATTATACACTGCCCTCACCTTTGGTTTGGTAGGTGGGGATTGAGGAAGCAATGCCGGTCCCACAGACCCCTCCCTATCCCACACTGTGATGTGAGATCAGGTTCTGGACCACCTGAGGACCCGAACCTCCAGGAGTCTTTGGGTCCTGATGAGACGAGTCCCAGAGCTCTGAGGGAATTCAGTGCTGCAGTCACCGAGCCACTCTCAGTGGTATTTGAGAAGTCGAGGCAGTCAGGTGAAGTCCCTGGTGAGCAGAAAAAAGGTGACAGCACAGCTGTTACTGCAGATATAAAGTGTGACCCTGGGAACTGCCAACATGTCAGTCTCACCTCTGTGCTGCAAAAAGTCATGGAGCAGATCCTCCTGGAAGGGACTCTGAGGCACGTTCCAGTGCGTCACCACCCTCTGTGTGAAAAGCTTCCTCCTAATAACCAACCTAAACCTTCCCTGTCTCAGATTAAAACCATTCCCCCTTGTCCTATCACAATCCACCCTTGTAAACAGCCGTTCCCCTTCCTGCTGTTCCCCCCTTCAAGTACTGGAAAGCTGCAACAAGGTCTCCCCCAAGCCTTCTCTTCTCCAGGCTGAACAAGCCCACTTCCCTCAACCTTTCCTTGTAGGAGAGCTGCTCCAACCATCTGCTCATCTCAGTGCCTCCTCTGGACCCGCTCCGTGAGCTCCACGTCCTTCCTGTGCTGGGGGCCCCAGGCCTGGATGCAGCGCTGCAGATGAAGCCTCACAAGAGCCGAGCAGATGGGGACGATCACCTCCCTCTCCCTGCTGGCCGCTCCTCTTTTAATGCAGCCCAGAACACAGCTGGCCTTCCAGGCTGCAAGCCTGCTCTGCTGGCTGACGTCCAGCTTCTCACCCACCAGGATCTGCAAATCCTTCTCTGTGGGGCTGCTCTCAAGGTGTTCTTTGCCGAGTTTGCACAAACATCTGGGATTGCCCCTTCATCAGCGACATTGACAGTGGGGTGGAGTGCACCCTAATGACACCGAGCTGTGGGGTGCGGTGACACACCAGAGGGACGGGATGCCATCCAAAGGGACCTCAACAGGCTGAGTAGTGGCACTTAGCAACGCGCCTTCCAGCCCAGAAAGCCAACCGTATGCTGGGCTCCATCCAAAGATGTGCGGTCAGCAGGCGAAGGGAGGCGGTCCTGCCCCTCTGCTCTGCGCTGGGAGGCCTCACCTGGAGGTGCTGTGTGTGGATGTGGATGCCTGCAGTGCAGGACAGACGTGGAGCTGTTGGAGCACATCCAGAGAATGGCCACAGATACGAACCGAGGGATGGAACGCCTTTCCTATAAAGACAGAGAGCTGGAGCTGTTCAGCCTGCAGAAGTGAAGGCTACGAGGTGATCTGGTAACAGCCTTTCAACACCTGAAAGGAAGAACAAGGAAAGATTTAGCCTAGATATGAAGAAAATCTTGTACAGTGATGGTGGTGACACAGCAGAACAGATTACCCAGACATGATGGATGCCCTGTCCCTTCCAAGGTGAGGAATTGGGGTTTGGGTGTCATACAGATTAGGAAACTAACAGCATCTCCAGACAATTAGGATGGAGATATCTGGGGCGAGGCTGAGTACAGCGGTCCAGAAGAGGACAAACCTTGGCTTCCTATAAAGATGAAGACTTATTACACCTAAGGGTGCACAGAATGCCCTTAAACAACTCTGCACGGTTGGAAGCAGTGCATAACAGCCCTGAAATAAAGGAAGAAGAAGTTACTCCATTCCAAAGATGAACACTCAGCCCACACTGCCAGGGAAGCAGTCTCCAGGTAGAGATGCTGCCCTTATGGCTTCCACCCCTTAAATGTGGTCAGGATACTAAATTATAATAATAAAAAAAGAAAAGAAAAAAATGGAGATTGCAGCCTGAAATAAAGAAAAAACAAAGAAACCACTTACACCAATCTCAAAGGCCAAAACTCACCCATGCTCCACAGGAGACAGCCTCCAGAGATCAATGCTGCCCTTACATCTGCCAGCACTCAAATGTGGTCAGGATGCCCCAAAAACAGGAAAAATCACAGCCCTAAAACAAGAAGGAATCACTCATCCTTTCTCAAGGACCAGCCCTCACCCCACGCTCCCAAGGAGACAGAATCTAAAGATGGACACCACCTTAAAGGCTGCCAGCCCTTAAGCGGGGTCAGGATCCCCCCAAAAACAAGATATTGCAACCCTGGAATAAAGACTCACTCACCCCGTTTCAAGGGTTCACCCACTCTCTAAAGGAAGCAGCCTCCAGGTGCAGTTGCTGCTCCTTCTGCTGACAGACCTTAAACGTGGTCAGCAGCCCCCAGAAAGTGAAATTACAATCCAGCAATACAGAAAAAACCAATGACCCCATTCCAAAAACAAACACTCAGCCCATACCCCAAAGGAAGCAGCCTCCATGCAGAGATGCTGCCCTTACAGCTTCCAGCCCTTAAAAGCAGTCAGGATCCCCAAAACCAGAAAGACCAGAACCCTGCAATAAAGCACCAATCATTCACCCCATTCTAACGAGCAGAACTCGCTCCCAATGCTCCCATGGAGGCAGTTCCCAAGCAGAATGCTGCCCTGGCTGTTCCCAGCCCTTAAATGTGGTCAGGAGCCCACAAAAAGTGAAATTACAATCCAGCAATAAAGAAAAAATCAATGACCCCATTCCAAAAACAAACACTCAGCCCACACCCCAGAGGAAGCAGCCTCCATGCAGAGATGCTGCCCTCACAGCTTCCAGCCCTTAAAAGTTGCCAGGATCCCTAAAAAGCAAAAGATCAGAGCCCTACAACAAAGCATCAGTCACTCACCTCATTCCAATGAGCAGAACTGGCTCCCAATGCTCCCATGGAGGCAGATCTCAAGCTGAATGCTGCCCTGGCTGTTCCCAGCCCTTAAATATGGGCAGGGAGGGGGTGGAGCCAAGCTCAGCCCTATCCGGTCCCACAGGTAAATTGCTTCCACCTGTGCTGGCAGGGCTGGCCACACCCCTCACCAGGTGCTCAATCACCGCTTCAGACTGTAAACAACAAAAAAAAAGACTAATAACGAGCAGGTGATTGGATCTGCCTGTCCGGCAAGGGGAGTTTTATCACAGGATGAGCAACAGTGGCACAAATATTTTGATTCAAGTCTGTCCTCAAAGGCATTCGGTAAAATTTCTAATAGATAGGGGAGCACAAATTTCAGTACTGATACAGCGCACAGATTTCAATACTGATACAGCAAGATGCTGAAAAGCTGTGTGTGCAGCCTGGACGGCAAAGTTGAGATTACCGGTGTGATCTTAAGACCGGAGTGAGTGCTATTTGCCAAACTAGTGGGGACAGCTTATGGCTCTCCAGTGAGAAATGTGTGTTGCTTACTTTCTTCGCAATTAAAGACCGTTGTGAAAATAATTCAGGATTCGACATCCTCAGTGGGTGAACCTGGCACCTGCCAGTATGGCAGCATGTTTTTGACTCAAGTATCAACCCTAAACCCCAAAGATACAGGGAGGCTGCAGTGTGCCTACTTCTGGCAGCCCCTGCGCTTCAGGAATCAGAGTTCACTGACGTACTGCAGTACCCCATTTCTGTTGCAGCATGACGTGGGATTTCTGAAGTTGTCACAGATTTGGAGAAAACACAAAACATTTCCAGAACGCACTCCCTGTATAACCCACCTGTCTATCCAGTTTGAAAACAGATGGAAGGTGGTGATTAACAATTGATTACTGGTGCCTGAACAGTTATACAGCTCTGCTAGGAGCTGCTGTCCCAAACACTGCTGACTTAACAGCTACTTGGCAAGCATGTCACTTCACTCCTGTGGAACCCAGGGCCCCTATGTGCCCCAGAACTCTTTCATGGTCCCATGATGGCCTCTAGAGATACTCAGATGTGTCCCAGAGCTATGGAGTGTGCAGTAGGCAGCCTGAGATATCATCAAGCCCTCTCCCAGCTCCTCAGCACACTCTGGGGTGTGATGGTGATGTGGCACAGGGAGGTGTCAGGTGGTGCGAGGTTATGGCAGTGTCACTGCAGGTGCCATTCGAGAAGCACTGTGGGGCAGATGAGCAGTGCCATCCTGAGCTGGCAGTGACGGTGACACCCAGTGCCACGCTGCTGCTGGGCAGCCACGTGGCTAATGTGACCGCAATGCTGATGCTGCACAACCACGATGAGGTCACACACAGGGCCACTGTCACCATCTGCCATCCCCTGTGCCATCCCCTGGGGATAGTGTTCCGCAGGGCCAGAGCCACCACAGTGGGGGCACCTGTCCCCGTGTCCACACAGTGTTCCAATGTCCCCAGTGTCCCCACAATGCCCCCCAACATTCACACAATGTTCCTTTCCATGTTCCCATGTCCCAATGCCCCCACACTCCCCAACTGCTCCCCAGTGTCCCCACATCTTCCAGTGTGCCCACATCTCTCAGTGTTCCCCCCAATGTCCCCACAGTGTCCTTCTCTATGTTGCCATGTTCCAATGTCCCCCAGTCCCCACTTCCCTTAATGTCCCCACAATGTCCCCAATGTCCCTACATCCCTCAAAGATCCCAGTGTCCCCCCATTGTCCCCCAACATCCCAAGTGTCCCCCCAGTGTTCTGCAATCTCCCCACAATGTCCCTACAATGTCCCTGGTGTCCCCACATCCCCCCCCAGGGGACGTCCCTGGTGCCCATCAACCGCCGAGAGGCAGTGGCAGCACTGGTGACAATGGGGATAGTGACATGGATGGCGTTGGTGACAGTGGTGGCCACACCATTGTGCCACATGAGCCAACCTGTGCTGCATGCCAACACCACATTCAAATCATGGGGACATGAGGGACAGAGGGACATGGAGACATGGCGACACGGGGATGTGAGGACATGGAAGGGATGTGGGGAGGATCACAGAGACATGGGTGGGACACGGGGATACAGAGGGTACGTGGGAACATGGAGGGAACATGGGAATGCAGAGGGGACACAGAGGGGTGTATGGGAACTGCTGAGTCATGGCCTGAACCTCTGATTGATCACCTGAGGCAAGCCATGAGTCAGCCAGAGGAGCACAGGTGAAGGCAATTCAATTCACCTGTGCTGCCGGAAGGGGTGGAGCCAGGCTGCACCTCTCCTAGACCTATTTAAGAGCTGGCTACGAGTGGGGAAGGATCTCTTCTGAAGATTGCCTCTTCTGGTGTTTTGTAGGTGAGCCCAGCATAAGGGTAAGCTTTCCACTTATTCTCTTTGTTATCATTGTCCACTTTGCCTAACTCTCTTGATTATATTGTGATTGCAACATCTTGATATCCATTAGGGGACACTGGGACATGGAGGAGCATAATGACATGGGGGACATGGCACGGGGCTACCCCCATAGGTGCTGGTGGAAGTAACAGCAGAGGTGACATGTAACCACTTGTGGGGCACTACACTGCAGCTAGGGGCCAATGTCAGCAGGTGGGCACAGGGGGACACAGGGGGCTGTTCAGAAGGGGATGGGGGGCAGGGAAGGGATGGAGGGACAGGGGGCAGCAGGGGGATGGGGGGATGTACAGATAGGAATGGCATGTGGGGAGGGATGGAGAGATAGCGGGGACAGTGTGGGGGGAGAGCAGGAATGATGTTGGAGTTACGCTGTGGGGTGACACCAGAGAAGTTGAGGTGATACCAGGGAGTGACAGTGGGGTAACACTGTTAGGGTAACATTGTTAGGATGATGTTGAGGATGTAGTGGCAATGTTAAGTCGTGGCTTGAACAGTGATAGAGCGCCTGGTGGGAAGGTAGGACCAATCCAGGGAGCTCAGGTGCAAGCAATGTTGCTGATTTGTCACTGGGAATGAGGTTGGTTGTAGGAGGCAAGGTTGTTAAGGGTTCTCGTCCACTTGGGCTCTGTACTATGCACTGGCCAGGCTGGTACATTGTGTAATGTAACAAGCCTTATAGACCCTGGAGAGAATCAAAGGAGAGAGGCTGTAGTGGGGGTAAAAGGCAAAGTGCCCTTTGAAGCAGGGGATGCCCTGCTGGTGCTGCCTATCTCATCTACTGCTAGCCTGGTTCTTCTCTCATCTTTTAGTGGTTTGCAGTCTCTCAAGAGTCAGAAATTAACAGTGCACTTGTTTAGAGAGGTTCTGCTTCCTGTTTATGGGAATTATGGTGATACTGGGGAGTGATGCTGGGGGGGTGACATCAGGGAGTGGCATTGAGGGGAGACACTGGGGTGATGGTGACAGGTGGGGAGGTGATAGGGAGTAACAGTGGTGGTGAATGGTGGGAGGGTGTGGGATATAATGGTGATGGAGATGATGGATATGATGGTGGCGGTGGGAGGGTGATGGAGGTATGGGGGAGCAATGGTAGTGCTGAGGGAGTTGACAATTATGAGGGTGGTGGAGGGGAGGTGATGATAGTGGTGACAGTGGAGAGGCAGTGATGTGGGTGGTGGTGGGGTGGGAATGATGGTGGTGGTGATGGGGGAGAGAGAGGATGGGGTGATGATTGTGGTAAAGGTTGATGGTGTGGGGGAACATTGTTGGGGAGAGACGTAGAGGATGTTCTTAGAGTGATGTTGGGGGGTGACTGTGGGCTGACAGTGACACTGATGTTCAGGGGGGTGACAGTCTTGAGGGAGTGATTTTGGGTATTACTAGGGGGTAACACTGCAAAGTCACATACAAGTGACCCTGGGGCACTGTTGGGGGGGGGGGGGGGAGGGGGGTGAGAGGGGTTACATTGGGGTAATGCTGGGGAGGAACAGTGGGGTGAAGCTAGGGTGATGTTGGGGAGTGATGCTGGGGGAATGTTGTTGGTGTAATGTGGGGCAGAGATACTGGGATGATGTTGGAAGTGACACTGGGAGGTGATAGTGTTGGGGAGACAGAGTGATGTTAAGGAATGATGTTGGGGTATCGGTGATTGGGTGAAATCAGGGAGTAATGCTGGGGGTGAGGGTATTTCAGTCTCGCCATTATGCATGTGCCAACTGAAGCACTCCACTATGCATGTGCCAGGTCTGGCGTAGCACTGTGTTTGACCCTGATTCTGTTCAGCAATAGATATGCGTCCGATTCGGCACTGCAACATGTATGCGCCATTGTCGATACTCCATATGTCAGTTCCAGCACAGCAGTATGCACCTGCCTTCTTTTCTGCGTGAGCACCATGCTTGGGCCACTCAGCGCACTTTATTACGCATGCTCTGTGTTCAACACTCCAATACGCATGCACCTTCTTCAATTGTGCACTGCGCATGCGCCAGCATCGACGGTTTACTTGGCGTACGCCAGTGTCGGCATCCCGCTGCGCATGCGCTTTTCGTGGTAGTGCAATACGCATGCGTTTGTCTAGGTTCGCGTATGCGCCTTGATTTCCGCAGTCCACATATAAACGTCGCGGTTTTGCACTTTGGCCACTCGGTGGCAGCAGAGACCGCGGAAAAATCTTTAATGGGCTTGGCCCTGCCCGCGTCATTTTCTGCGGCTGCCCGTTCTCTATTGCTGGCAGAGTAATAACTCAAAGTTAGAGGGGGAAGGGGACATACAGGAGAAAAAAAAAAAAAAAAAAAAAAAAGGAAAGCACTAAGAAAAACAAGGAAAACTTCTTGAAACCCTGTTCTGAGTGCTTATGAATATCTGTAAATTAATAAATAATTCATGTTGTCTTACATTTTTTTTTCTCACAGTGCCTGGAATGATGAACAAATCTGTTATTGATTGGACAGATCATGCAGTGAAGCCAAGAATGGTTTGAAATTATTAACAGAGCAGCACCAAACAGCCAAGCAACTTTTAGAAAAAAACATATTAACAGCTTCCATACTTTGCTTCATCACTCTAAGATTCCATCCTGTTCATATAAAAGAGCATATAAACAGGAGGGGGAATGACTGATTACATGGGAGGACAGTAATAAGACAAGGGGGAATGGTCTTAAACTGAGAAATGGGAAGTTTAGGTTGGATATTAGGAGGAAGTTTTTCACCCAGAGAGTGGTGAGGCACCGGAACAGGTTACCCAAGGAGGTTGTGGATGCCCCATCCCTGGAGGCATTCAAGGCCAGGTTGGATGTGGCTCTGGGCAGTCTGGTCTGGTGGTGGGCAACCCTATACATAGGGGGGATTGAAACTGGATGAGCATTGTGCTCCTCTGCAACCAAGGCCATTCTATGATTCCACTGTCAGACCAACCAATCAGAGCATATTGCTGCATCTCAACCTTTTCAGCCTAAGCAATCATAATGCACTGCTGCATCCCATCCTTTTCAGTCCAGTTAATCAGAGTGTGGCACTGCTTGTAGGCCTTTTCCATTCCACCAATCAGAGAGCAGTGCATCCTTACACCTACTGCAGTCCATCCAATCAAAGCATGGCACAGCAGCCAACATTTATTGGACCAAGCAGAGAATGGTGTTGCATTCCATCCTTTTGAGCCATACCAATTAGAACAGTGTCTGCCCTTCTCATCCCCAGCAATTAAAGCAGTGTTGCTTCCCTTTCTTTTCTGCTCAGCCAATAAAAATGCATTGCTACAGCCAGTGCTTTTCAGCCTAGTCAATCAGAGCATGATGCTGCTTCCTGCTGCTTTGCTGATCAGCCAATCACAGCACAGCTTTTCTCCATTTTTAGCCCAACCAAAATACAGCAGAGCTTCCTTCTCTTTTCAGGAGACCCTACCAACCATATTAACATATCCAGCCCTTTTCAGCCCAACCAATCATAGTACAGCACCTCTTCTTGTACATTATAGCCTAACCAATTAGAGCAGCACAGATTCCCATCCTTTTCAGCCCCATCAATCAGAGTATGATGTTGCTTCCCACTCTTTTCAGCTCTATCAATCAGAGTGCATTGAGGCATCAATCCCTTTTTAGACCAACCACTCAGAGCGCAGTGCTACTTCCTGACCTTTCCAGACCAACCAGAGCATGATACTGCTTTGGACCTTTTCAGACCAACCAATCAGAGAGCAGCATTACCACCAGCCCACTACAGCCCAACCAACCAGAGCATAACAGATCTTCAATCACTTTTCAGGCAAACCAATAGAGAGCAGTACAGCTTCCCACCCTTCTAAGACTAACCAATCAGAGCGCATTGCTGCATCCCACCCTTTTCATCTCAACAAATTAAAGCACAGCACAATAGTCTTTTCAGCCCAAAAAATCAGATTGCTGTGCTGCTTCCTCCTTTTCATCCTAATCAATTGGAGTGCACGTGCTGGTTCTCAAGTAGAGAGAGATTTCTTTGTTTCTAAGCAGAGGGAAACCAGGAAGCTGGGACTTCTCTGTCCTACTGCCAAAGGTCTTACCAGCATTCTGAGGGTGAACACGGACCTGCAGGATAACCCCTGGGGCTTTGTGTGGGAGGAAAAGAAGCAGGGATGCAGCTGCAGTGCAGGCAGAGGGCTCTCAGCTGGAGCAGTGCAGCCAAGCACGGCTGCACAGCCCACAGTCTGGGCACACAGAGGAAACTCGTCCAGCTGCAGCCTGGGGCTAGGGGGCTGTCCTTGACAAACTCTCCAATTCTATAGAGCTGCATTGGACTGCACCAATTGCTCAAGCTCTTCCCACTGCAGGAGCTCAAAATGCCCTCCCCCTTTCCTCCTTCTTGGTGTTTTCCCCCTTTCTTCCGCCTCTCTTCCTCCTGCACTGGCCCAGTGTTCTGCTACCATTGTCACCTAACAATCATGAAATATTTTCAAATGCATTGAATCAGACTGCATGCTGCCACAGACTGGGGGTGGGAAGCTGAAAAAGGAACACTATATTATGTGTTAATTAAAGACTCCTACCTGTTTGAGGACCAGTAGCAGTTCCTCATCTTGGAGTAACTCCTGAATACAACTCAGACTCATGATCAGACTCATGATGGATTCACTATCAACAGTGGCTCTGGGATATTGGATCTAATTATTCTACTCTGAGGTGTAGTATAATTCAGGGCACAAAAAAACTCTGTGACCCAACATACTCTAGGGCACATTAATGGACTTCCAGAGCCCTATAAGCTTTCCACTGAGTCCCAGAAGCTTACAAGAATGCCAAAGTGGACTCTGAAGCACTCTACAATATTCCCTGAGCTCCTTAGTGCACTCTAAGGGTTCCCCAGAGACTTTCCAGTGTAGCCTGCTGCACTCTAAGCACATCCCACTATATCCTGGGCCACAATAGATGGCTTACCGAGCTCCCTGAACAAATCCAGGTTGTCCTGGAGTGTACTGAACACCTCTGTGCTCATCTGCAGTGTCAGCACATACAGTGAGTGTATGCGTGTGCCCCCCCATACCTCCCTGGGCACCCAGCAGCCCATCAGCAAAGTTGGGTTCTGGGACACTGCAGGAAATGTGGTTTTCCATTGCTATGAAGCATGAGGGAAAAAAAGAGGCACACCGTGAAGTTTTCTTTCCCCACAGCAATGGCATAGGGTTGATTTTCTGGCCCCTTTCATGTCTTTTCTGGGTGGGGGCCATAGCACAGCCTCAGGTGCTCTGTTCTCTTTTTTCCTTTTGATTTCAGGTGAAGAACACAGTATTAAAGGAAAAAAAAAAAAGGAAGAAAGGAAAAATTCTCAAAACCTACGAAACCCGTGTTAACTGCTTATGTATACCTGAAAAAAAAAAAAAAAAAAAAAATCTGATGTTGTTGCACTTTCCTTTGTCAGCATATTACATTTTTTTAAATATTCATGCACCAAAATCTAACTACTTGGTAAATTCAATGATAATGAAATGAAGGCACATCAACAGAAAGCACAGAGCTTTGTGTTTTTTCAGCATGTCTTGTTCATGGTTGTAGTCTGCTGTAAAGTGATGTACAGTGATAGTAGCAGGGTGGTACAATCCTAGGCTGCAGCAAATGAAAACACACCCAAACACAGTAGCAGTAGCTGCAGAAACGAAAGAAAAAACAAAGCTGCTTACCGTTGGAAGGCCTCAGGTAGGCAATGATCTCCAGCAAGATACCCTCACCTCCTCTGCCAGCCCTTACACGAGGGCTGGGAAGGGGTGAATCCTAGCTTCACCCCTTTATCACTCAGTGGTATTGCACACACCTGAGCTCCTGTGGGTTGGCCCTGCCTTCCCACCAGGTGTTCAATCAGTGCTTCAGGCCATGACTTAGCATTTCCTCTACAATATTTTTAATGTATTTTTTTTTCACAAATACTGCTCTTGCATTTAAAAAAAAAAAAAAAAAAAAGCCAAAAATTAAACTTGGCTTGCTGAAAATATACATGGTGGTTCTGTTCATAATGATGGAGAATTTGCAAAGTGATTAAAAGTGTTTTGCAAAAATCAAATGAGTCTAAACTAATTAAATCAATTAAACGTTATTATTAGAGAGGTAACATTGAGATAGTACCTGGAGACCTTAACAAAGAAGAGGACCCGATTGTACCAGGTGAGCTGTGTACAAAGGGAGCAGTGTCACTGTCATCCTTGGGACCTCTCCAACCGCATTCTAGGGCACGTACCTTGCTGTGCTCTCAAGTCAGGCCTGGTTGGAGGGAGGGAACATACACACCATGCTCACTCTCCCTGCTGCTGAGCACAGGTGCTGAGGCCCATAAACAATCACCTGGGGCTGCAGCTCCACTGAAGGTGTGGAAGGGTTCTTTTTTCCCCCCCTCTGCTTTCCAGCAGCTCCTGGCCTTGCTGCTTGCCAGCCCTTACTCTTGCACTGCACTCTGGCTCTCACACTGGTCTGTTTCTTCCTATTCTGTATTTTAGTATATGGCTGTTTTCTTGCTGCAAATGATAGGGTGTGACTGAGACTGTGGGCAACCCCAGTCATCTCTGTGGCATCGGCTTCTCTGGAAGAAATTCCCTTTGTTGTAGCTGGAGCACCCTGGTGAAGGTGCAAAGGTGTAGCTGTGGAGGATGCCCTTGCCCAGATGTGGGAAGTACATTTCATTCTGCTTCAGTGACCTGGCACCCAGCTGGCTGTACACATACCCCAACTCAACACTGCATCGCCAACCTGCGTAACGACAGCACTTCCCAACCTCCATGGCCAGCGATGCTCCATGCACTGCACCCACTGAAGCCAGACTGATTTTATTCAAATTGCGTGTGAAACAGAATAATTAAAAAAAAAACAAAAAAAACCCAACAACAACAAAAAACAACCAGCCCTCACTGGCTTCACAGAAGAAAGCCAAAGGAAAATTGCTCCCAGGCTCTCTTTTTCTTCCTTGGCCCTCCCATGAACTAGTATTAATGCTGCACATGTTACAATACAATCTGAGGGGTGGGAGGCAGCTCCAGCTCTGCATCTGCTCCCCCGAGGAAGGTTTTGGCACAAAGGCAGGAGTAGTGTGGGTGTTAGTACTGGGTCTGAAAGCTATAGGGGCAGCTAGGAGCTGCCCTGGACAGTGATGAGAGGGCAGGATGGGAATGTGGAAGAAGGGCTTTGTGTTGGAGGTTGCCCTCCACCAAGGGGACATGCCAAGGAGCCAAGTCTGAGACAGGGGCTGTGCCTCCGCACCCCATCTCTCGCACACGTCTCAACTGTAAACTGCAAGTGGGGGCACCTAGTTCACCCAAATGCTATCCCCACAGTAGGGAAAATTAAGGGTCCGGGTAGTATCAGGAATTGGCTGTGCTCAGCACCCCAGGATGAGTGATACCTGGAGTGGGATGTCAGGATTGCAGCCTTGTCTGGGGGCATAGCCTGGGGTGCTGGCAAAGCCTCTGTCCTGCTCCCTGGGCCATTTTCACACACACAGCTGATGACTGCTCCTCAGCTCACTGCTATAAATAAAGGGCACAGGATGTATGGGGGCACTGTGTGGTGCTCCCGGTCCGCGGACGCGTACAGTAGACTTGGACCCTTGGCCGCGCTGATGCTAGGTAGCTAGGTAGCTCTGCGCTTGGTCATCAATTTCCAGCTGCAGCCCGGCGGTACTGGCAGAGCCACTCAGTCTGTTTTCCAGACCTTGTTGAGGAACTTGACCACCTCATCATAGATGACAAAGACAATGGCCACGTCGAGGCAGACACGGCCCAGGCGGGGTATGGTGCCCTTGTAAAACCTGTGGGAATGAAGAGGGCTAAGGGCCAAAGCAGGATCACAGGAATGCACCAGCAGTGCCTCAATCCTTCCACATGCAGTCACTCCTCACTACTCTCATCCTTGCTCAGAATCGTAAAAACATTAACGTTGGAAAAGACCTCTAAGATCATCTAGTCAATCCATCACCACCATGCCCATTCAACCATGTCCATCAGTACCACATACGTGTTTCTTGAACATCTTCAGGAACAGTGACTCCACCACCTCCCTGGGCAGCCTCTTTCAATGCCTCACCATTCCAAGTTTTTCCTAATATCCAACCTGAACTTCTCCTGGTGCATCTTGAGCCATTACCTCTCAATCTATCATCATTATCTGAGAGAAGGGACTGACTCCCACCTCAATACAATCTCCTTTTGGGTAGCTGAAGCGTTCAACAAGTTGAAGAGGTAAGATCACCCCTTAGCCTATTTCTCTCAACTGAACCATTCAAGTTCCCTCAGCCACTCCCCACAAGACTTGTGTTCCAGACTCATCACTGGCTTCTGTGCCCTTTTTGGACATGCTCCAGGGCCTCAATGTCTTTCATGCAGCAAGGGGCCCCAAAAAGAAGGCAGCACTCCAGGTGCAGCCTCATCAATGGCATGTACAGAGGGACAATCACTTCTCTAGTCCTGCTGACCATACTATTTCTGCTAAAAAACAAAAAACAAAACAAAACAAAAAAAAACCACAAATTCATATCATCCTTCTACAGGGCCCATGCTAATCTGCTCTGTATCATTCACTCTGTATCTGCTTATCCCATAACACCCTCTAACCCAGCCCCAGGACTACAGGAGCACTTACGCCAGGGGCCCCTCATATTTCATGATCTGGTAGGCGCAGTCCCACGTGCTCTTGTACTTATGTGCTTCCAGCCCCTGCAGGAAAGGAAAAGAAGGGTCGGGCACTGGAGCTGGGGTACACTAGAAGGATTAGGGCTAATGGTGGAAACAGTGAGTGCATGGCATCTCCATGCCACAGTGCTGCACCTGCATCCTGGTCTTAACCACATCCAAGGGCGTGTTGCCAAAGACACTCGCAGCTCCTGCAACGGCTCCAAACACGCCTGTGACGAAGGGATTGATGATCTTGTTGGGATCATCTCCTGTAGAGGAAGAGATGTCTGGAAATAGTGACAAAGCCTGGAGCTGGGATACCCTATCCCTGGCTTTCACCTCACTCCATTGTGAGAGGCCTGGGAAGCCTGGGGGCTTGCAAGTGGAACTTAATCCAGGGACTGGCAGCACAGCCAGCGCAGCACTGTGGGAACATAGGGACATAGTACCTTTGTACCAGTTCTTGAGGGATGTCATGACGAAGAAGCGGATGGCCTGGTTGGATCCTTGCTTGAGGACAGTTGCAGTTAGGCCTTGGTAGGTCCCCTTCAGCCCTACAGCAATGAAGGGTGTTGAAGGTGTTGAAGGAGAGCACCAGCCCTGCTCCCCAGCTCCTCCCATTGGATCCACAGCCCCATGCACAGACCTGGCCCGTTCGATGGGCTCCTGCATGACCCAAACCCCTGACCACTACTCCTATGACTCACCCTGCTCTCGAACAATCTCCCTGACACCATGGAAGAAGCCACGGTACTTCGGCTTGGAGGAGCATTGGTCATGGATGAACTTCACCTGTGGGGAGACGATGAGTTGGGCCCAAATAAAGTGATGTGGCCTGGGACTCCTCTGGGGGAGATGCCACAAGCAGGGGGCCCCTGTCCACCTCCCACCTTGATGGTCTCCATGGGGCACACCACCATCACAGCTTCAGCCACACCGGCACCCAACCCACAGACAAGGCCCCGCGTGCTGTCCAGCCGGCCCTGCTCATCCCTCATCTGGTTGCTGAGGAACTCGAACATGCCAAACCTGTGGAGAGGCCACAGTGACAGTCCTGGGGTGCGCAACAAGGGACCAGAAGCTACTGGGGATGCTGAGACCAAGGTCATTGCCAGGGGAGCACAGTCCAGGGACCTCCATGACACACTTACCTGACAGCAGCCTTGGGGATGGAGCCATACACCAGTGAGCTGAGCCCACGGTACAGCCCTCGGACACCATGGTCACGGACAGTCTGCTTCACGCAGTCCCCTGGAGCAGAGCACAGCAGTGTCACTGTCACCTAGCACACACCAAGGGACACCCTTAGCCCCCCCAGGATGCCTCCAAGCCCCTTGGTCTCACCAATGCCCTTGTAGCGGGGCGGGTTGGCCTTCTCATCTAGCTGCAATTGTGTCTTCACATATTCAGTGGGGAAAGTAATGCAGATCTCAATGCCTCCGGCGAGGCCACCTAGAAAAGAGATGGAATTGGAGCTCCAGTAGTGCTGCACTGAGCCCCGGCCTCATGGGTACTACAGACTCCACAGATGTGGCCTCACAATGCTCGACCCAACATCTCACAGCTCGTGGGCCATCCAGGACGTGGCATCCTCCTTCTTACCAGGGTCCTGTGACCAGCGTTAATACAAAGGCATCAGGCAAAGTGGTGGGGAATAGGCACAGCAAACCCAGTTAGCACTACAGTGCCTCTACTCAAAGATGCTGCTCCCTTTGGAGATGCAGAGGTGAGGAGTCAATGCAGCCATTTACAAACCTGCACAGCCACTTGAACTTACTGCCAATCCACAGCTGGCAGGAGACCACTCACAGAAGCACCATGCAGGTATGGAAGCACAATTGCAATCAGCGCCCTTTGGCTGCCCCACACTGATTACAGCATTAGGATAGCCCCAGTGCACAGCACCAGCCAAGGCCATGGTAGCATTCAGCTATCAGCAGCACCAGCCTTAGGAGATGCAAGGCACTGGGTGCATGCTCCCATGGTGGGAGAGCCAAAGCAGAATGCAATTCCAAGGCTGTAGACTGGCAGCATCTTGGGTGCATCCCTTATGGAACCCTGGCACACCTCATTTTCCTTACAGAGCTGTGCCTGCAGATGCAGAGCAAGGCAAAACACAGGTCCTGCACCGCTGCCCAAGCTTCCCTTCCTGGAGTCACTCAATTCCAGCAGAAGCCACATTCTACGCAAATCAATCACCCCATCCCCTGAGGCAAGCCTGGTTCCAGCTCCTTCTCATGTGCCACCTTCACAGGGGTGCAGCAACCTCGCAGTCTGTTTACCTGGACTTTACCCAGCAGAGCTTTGGTGCTTGCAACATTGCTGACTAAGCGCAAGCAGCCAGCAGTGAGTGCACAAGAGGTAAAAGAGCAGGGGGCCCACCCTGTGCTGCCGAGCCAAGGTCCTCAGCCACGAGCTGATGAGATGGAGGAAGCACAAGGACGTCCTCCAGGGCCGCTCCAGGGTTTTGTATCCAAACCTCCCCCCCCCCACGCCCTCCCCCATCCCTGCATGAACCCTGCAGCACAGCCAGCATAGACAATGCTGCTGCAGAGGGAGAGATGAGCACCTGAAAGCCATGAGTGCCTTGAGTTGTGTTTGGGGGGGGCTGGGATATCCTACATTAACCTTTCTCCCTCTCCTTCAAACAGAACCCAAATTGGATACCAAATTTGCAGCGAGCCTATTAGTTTTGTTCATCATCATGTATTAGCCCTGCCATGAATTCAGTGTTGTTTCACCATTACTTCCCCAGGATAACTGTGATTGTGCTTTGCTGGTCACAGCTCCAGGACTCAGCAGGAAGGAGAAAAAGGATTGTGAGGACAGCACAAGAGCAACTACCCCAAGGGATTTTGGGGACAGCACCAGTAGCTCCTCAGGGCGCTCTGGGGATATGCAACCACATTTCCCAGGATGGCTGGCTGAGGGCAGAATGACAAAGCCATAGGGTTGCACCTTTAAGGAAGGTGAGTGCTACCCCTGCAAAGCCACAGGCAGCAGCCAGTGCCCTTCTGGGAACTAGGGAGCGGGCGGTGGCAGTAGCTCTCTGCCACCCTGCACACAGCATGCTGCTCTGCTCCACGCTCCTGCAAGCATCAGCAGAAGCAGCAGGTGCCTGCACAGCTCTGATAACAAGTGGGCACCTGGAGAGCAATCTCAGCCTCTCCATTCTAAGGGCAATTTCCCACATAGACACACAAGCACATCATTCCCAAACAAAGAGCTCTTCTTGCCTTCAGCTATCCTTTCTTGAGAGAGGATAGAGGGCCAATTTCTAATGGCCCATCAGGCAGTAGGAGCAAGGTTAGTCCATGCCCAACGTTGCTGATAAGGAGTGGGACCTCTATGGAGCCCCTGGTGCACATCTGTGCCTTGAGCTTTACCCTACACACTAATTATGCACCCAGAGCATCTGGCTTGTTTCCTTGCCAGGGGACTTTCGTGCCCTTCCCTGTGAGCCCAGATAGTCTTTACAGCTGAGAAAAACAAGCAAACAAACAAACAAAAAAAGCACAAAGTCCAGCAGCAGGGTGCTACAAATTAGGAATCGCAACCACAGCTCATTCACTCCTGCAGCCACACAGACCTCCACGTGCCCCGCATCTGTCCTTTCCACACCAGTACCACCCCATACACACAGTGGGGCAATGAATCACAGAATCATAGAATTACAAGGTTGGAAAGGACCTACAAGATCATCTAGTCCAGCTGTCCTCCCATTACCATTACTACCACAAGCTAGTAAACCATATGTTGTATCTCCTCATCCAGACACCTCTTGAACACTGCCAGGGACAGCGACTCCACCACCTCCCTGGGCAGGCCATTTCAGTGTTTGACCACCATCTCAGAGAAAAAGTTCTTCCTTATGTCTAATCTAAATCTCCCCAGCACAACTTATGCTCTTCGAGAAGAGGAACTTTTCAATGTCTTTGGTAGTGAAACAGGTTCCACAGGCTACTCCCTGTTGTGCAACAGGCTCCAACAGTTCCTACATCAGCACCAGGCATTCAATGGTGCCAGTTTGCTCTAAGGGAAAGGGCTGTGGGTGGGATGGCAGCAGCATCTGGCAGCCCTCCCAGTGCTTGGCCACCTCCTCCTGCAACATACCCCCATAGACCAACCCCTCCTTATCTTCCCTGTTGCACCTTGTCTGGAGAAAGGCAACACCGGGCTGCTCAGTGGGGTGGAGAGGGGATGCACTGACAGCATGGCCCCTTCCTAAAAACCAAGTCACCCAAAGATCACTCCTACAGTATTATTTGAATAGGAAATGCATCCTGCAATGGGTCAGAACCTCAGAACACATCCACTTATAGCATGGGGTACGGAAGGGCTTCACTACCTGTTTCACTACCAAAGACATTGAAAAGTTCCTCCTGATAGGTGCAAGGCCAGCTGGGAATGCTGCATTTCATCATGTGAATTGGGAAATGCTTTCATTGCAGCAACAGCCCCATGCCTGACAGGAGTCCTGCACCTCACAGGCACACACAGCAGTGCCAACACTGAGTTCCCCTGCGTCATAGTGAGCTGTTTGTCCCTAGATTGACAACCCTAGGGACAGGGAGCCCAGACCGTCCCTGAACTACCACAACTCATTCACTTTTTCTTTGCATTTGCTTCTCAATGGGCTAATATTATAATAAAATGTGTTACAGAGCATTTAAAATTCCCTGACTACAAGCATCATGGCAGGATCCACTGTCTCCTGATTAGAGCCCCAGCACCACCCAGTCTCACCTTGGTGCAAGTTCTGAGCACCCCAAGGTGGCAGTTCCAAAACTAAGCTCAAATAGAAAAGCATTGCTAGGCTCAAGGGCCTGGGGACAGTCCACACTTCTCAGCCATCAGCACAGGGCACCAGAGCACAACAGCAAAACACAGTTTGCAGACAGAGTCAGCTTTGAGAACACAGTACATGAACAGGGTCACCACTTCCTGGCTGGGTGTGAGGGGGGCCCTGCATTGGCATGCTATGCACACATCCCTCAGCAATGAGAGGCACAGCAACATCCCAGAGCTGTCAGCATGCAGCTGATGGCTGCCAGGAGGATGGATAGCTCCTTCTGACCACTGACATCAGTCCTAAGATGATGGTGCCCTGGGGAGCAGCAGACAGGTGAACACTGAATACCCACTGCCAATGTCTGGGTTCAGCCTGAGCACCTCAAAACAGTTTTGTAGCCTGGGGAGCAGTAGACAGCACCCAGAAGCATCGCTTCTTCCCTGCCAGGAGGGGCAATGCTCTGGGCTTAGAACACTGGGGAAGGAGCCTGGTTCTGCAAGGAGCGAGCTGCAGGTTTCACACCCAGGACTTGACTGCTCTCTTTGATAGGTATATCATTTCCTAAGAAAAATCACATCAGGAGATTATCAAACAAGAGGAAACTGAAGCTTTTGCTGCTGCTTTTCTCCTCTTCTGACCCTGAGGCTCCCTGCCCTGACGCACAACTCTCTCTCTACCACCTGCCCTCTCTTGCTGTGCACTTGCTACTCCCAACAGCACTCACTGCTCTGGCTCTTCCAAAGCCAAGCACCGTATTGGACAGCATCCAAGAACAGAAAAGCATGGAGACCACCAAGGTGTCCGAAAGCAGAGCAGAGCAGCAACAGCTTCTCTGTGAAAAGGAGCAGACTCCAGGCCTCAAAGCCAGCTAAAAATTGAGCTGCACTTAGTTCTAGCCAAACATAGCCTCCCACCATAATCAAAGGCCTCCCAAGCAAGGCATCCACCTGCTGCACAGGGCTCCAGAGAGCCAGCCTCAAGCTGTGCAGTGCCAGAAAACCATGCATGAAGAGCTCCAGAGCAGCCTAGACAGCTCTGCAGCCAGATAACTACAAAATGTGCATCTCAGCGCAGAGCCTGATTGTTTAGCAGGATTTTAACTAAGTTTAAGCAAGCCAAAGCACTATCATGCAGCACTGTGGAAGGCTGCCCTCGACCCCCTGGCTGTGGCACTCTCAGCAGCTTAATGGCAGGCAACAAGGTAACTGCCGCCCTAGCACCCAGCAGCCTCCTGAACAAACAAGAGCCCATTTGCAAATTTTTTTTTTTTTTTTTTTTTTTTAAAACATTTTGTTTGCCTTCAACGACAGTGAGAATTCTTGGCAGCAAGAGCTCTGCTGGCATCCTTCAAGGACACCAGACCCACACTGCCAAGCTCAAGGTGCTGTGTGGCAGTGGCAAAGTGCTGGCTCTGGCAGAGGGCCAGAGATGGCCCAGGATGGCAGTCAGGTACCTAATGCAGAAGGACCACAGCCCCACAGCCTCCCAGCACCTTCAACTCCTCGGACAGCAGAGCTGTAAAAAAAAAAAAAAAAAAAAAAAAAAAAAAAAAAAAAAAAAAAAAAAAAAAAAAAAGCAAATGCCTTCAGGTCAGCACAGACCCCAGAGCCTCACAGCACACCCCAGGAACAGGCAGTTAGGAGTTACAGACAGGGCACAAGGAGTTAACTGCAGGTCTTTGCCCATTTTTGTGCTTTGTAATGTAATTAGGTGCCACAGAGCCCACTGAACCAATTGCTCTGATTTGCTGTAAGCGAGGAGCAGACTCGCATCCCAACGCTGCTCTTCCTCCACCACCCTCCTCCCCCACGGCCCCGTGACGGCTACTCCAGGCCCAGGCTCAGTGCCGGGGGCACAGCCCTTTCTCCCGGTCCCGGGCCACTCCCAGAGCGGAGGGCCGGTAGCGGGCGGATGAACAAAGCGTCGGCCGAGGAGGAGGGAACGTCGGTTGCAGCACAGCAGCTAGGGACGTGCCGGTCAGGTCAGGTCGGTGGGAGCACGTTTCAAAGGCGAGCGCTGAGCTCTGCTCTGGGAGCCGTCCTGCGAGTGGGGAGCAAACGAGCAGCCACAAAAGAAGATGAAAGAGCCTCCGCCCTAAGCTCCGTTCTGTTCAGAGCAGGCAGACAGAAGCGCGGCAGCTACCCGGCGCCCGCCGCGATCCCATGGACGCAGGAAGGCGCGTTCCGAAGCGGGGACTCGGGCGCGCGGCTCTCGAGCAACGCTGAGGTGCCCCCCCAACCCCCAGCCCAACTACCGGGGCTGCTCCCCACTTACACGCAGACGACCGGCACGCCCTCAGCTTTGCACCCCGCCCTGCGGACGCTTACCCGCCAGGATGGCCTTGCCGGGGTGCGTCAGCTTGGCCTTGCCGGCGGGGGCAGCAGCAGCGAGGCTGCGAGGCGCAGCGGGGACGAGCATGGCCGCGGAAGTCCGCGGCTCCTACACTGCTCGCGGCCACCGCCGTATTTCAGGGCGGAACGGCAGAGCCGCGCCTACTGAGAGGCGGCCCAGGTGGCGTCACATCCTCATGCTGTGCTGCGGGGGGGGAGTGGGCCTTCCACTCCAGGGGACGGCACGCAGCGTTAGCGCAGTCGTGGCACCAGTCCGGTTGTCTTCCCCACCCCCTACACTCCCCCTTAAACTATGTGGGAAGCGTCCGATGGATGGAAGGAGATGTCTGCCAGGCAGCACTGAGTCACTCTGCTGGCGCTGCCTTTGTCTCGCTGAAGCAAAGCAACAAACTGCTATCTGCAAACAGAACCCCCCAGAGCTCATTGCAGTCAGGTCTTACTGTAGAATACTCCTATAAGCCAATCCAGTGAGGTTTTCCTAACGCTGCCCTGTGTCTGAAGGAAGACACGTTTGACCTCTGGAAAAAAGAGTGCTTTAAAGTAATTTTGCTCCTCCAGAGCCAGTTCACCTCAAACAACAATAAAGGCAAAGAAAGAAGGCCCAAAGTCAAAAGTATATAACAAACTGTTAGAGACAGGATACCAAGTCCTCTATTTTACAGCTCTCAATCCAGGAATTTTCATGGAAACAACCACCTGGTCATACACTTTTCTCTGCTATTGGCTGTGACTTGTTTCTGCCACCACAGAAACAGAGAGGAGAATTGTTAAAGACATAGCCAAGTGCCATTATAGCCTGTACACCTTGTGGTATTCCTTCCTCAGATACCAACAACTGGAACAGAGAAGAGAACTACTGCAGATGAAAGCAACATTCATAGTTTTTTGTTTATTTAAAAAACAGTGATTGCAGAAATAATATTCTGGAAAGCCCATAAACAAAGACCATGCTTGATCAGCTCCTACTTATCCCTTCTTTGACCATACTGACCCCCATCATTGACACAACTTGCAAGCACACCATGGTTTTAAAGACCAGAAGTGACCAATAGTTTTCTATTACATATCCTTGAAACAGAAAATTTCTTCACCTCATTAAACAAACAGCACTACCATCAGAACCATTACAACTCAAACCACTAGAAGTTTCCTCATGCATTATTAATCCACATCACTTGGAATTTTATGGTACATTAATAAACGTTATTTCTTCTCAGGTTCTCTTAGGCATAAAAAAAAAGATCTTATGCATAACAGACTTCAATGAGAAACAATCATATTGAATGCTTGTGAGTCAAATGTTTCACTAGCTTTCATGTGTGTGCAGCAGGAACCTCTGTGACAATGAGAAAGATACTCTTCTGAAACAACTTGTGTTACCACCACTTGAACACACATGCAGTTACCAACACTGTCTCTATTAACAGCCCATTAGAAATCCTTGTTAAAAAGATTTTGAAGTCTTGATTAAAACCACAGCAAACAGGGGAAAAAAAAACAGCAGCACCTCTCCTTGACTCACCAAACAACACAGGAGAACACGTAACTGAATAAACAAATTCTGACACATAACAGGTAGACAAGATTTCTAGACAAGACTGCATTTCAAATTCATATGAATACTTAAAAGGCTGACATTATCTATATTAAGCAAGAAAGAAAACTGATGGTTTCTGCTACCTTTCTGAAAGATCTAAAAGGCTCCAGACTGAAAGACCTAGACTGACATAGGCGTGCTAACAATTTTACGGCATTTTAATAGTAAAACATGAGTCAGGATCTATCCTTACCTTTGGAAATATACCCACAGAAAACATGCAGTATAGAAAAACAAGGAAGCTATACTAGCAAAACAAAACAAACAAAAAAAAAAAACCCACACAACTCTTTGAAAGCTTGTTGAAGTAAAAAAAAATATATATATATATATATATATATATACACACACATATATATATACACACACATATATATATATATGCAAAAGAATTTTAAAAACTCCAGGTCCATTAAACTGGTATACCTGCAGGTTGCTATGAAAGTACTGATTCACTCTGCAAAACATAACCTAATTGCACACCCATGTTACAAAGCAACTCTCCTATTGTTAATCATTTTTCAGCTTTACGTTCCTTAACATTTTATCACATATTCAAGATGACCCAATTTGACTTTGTGGGAATAAATGAGAGTGAAGCACTCTTGGCGTACACTGTAAAACAAAAGGAGAAATGTATTCAGACTGGAAACAGTGACGAGCGAAACTACATAGAACACAGAGGATGAAGAAGTATGGGAAGCATACTTCTACAGATAAGAAATATATTTTATTATAAAGGTTTATGCACACTTTCCAAACTGTTACAGAAACCTGTTACATACAATGCTACTTGTTCTAAGATTTGCCTCCATTTTTTTCTCAATGAAAATCAGCGCTGTACAACACCTTTTAATCACACTAACAGTTTCCCAATTCTAAGTTCCAGCCTGCCAATTAAAATATCACAAACAAGCAGAAATTTTAACCATGCAGAAGCTTAAGAACAGCATTGCCTAAACATATTGTATGTTCAAATACAAAAGTTATTTGAATTTCCTTGTCAGTTTTACAGTTGAAGGAACTGAAGAAAATTCAGTTTCACACCTTACAGCCACTACCATCTTTCCTGTATCGCCTTCATAATTAGTATTCATTTGAATAGACTTTATCTACCTAGATTATTTTTTTTTTAATGCAATGAAACAACTTAAGAACATTTTCTTCTGTTACGCTACCATCTAATTGTATAGTTCTCTAAAAAGACTAAAAAGAAGGGTGGGAAATAGAAGTTTTGTAAAACACCACAACTTAATTTAGACAGAAAGAAACAGAACTTACCCCAGTGATGAATTCCTCCTCAGTTTCCAGGGCTGGCTTATTTGGCTCAACAGAGCAGACAGCAGCAGCTATAAAAGAATTCTGCTTCCAAAGTAGCTCTTGGACATTCTTCTTTCCTTTTCCTTTTACTTGCTTTTATACCAAAAGAACCCAGAAACACTTGAAAATGTGAGGGAACAAAGGATATCAGTAAGTGCCAGCTCAGAATGAGCAACTGAACACAGGTTGGAATTTTATGCCAAGATAAGCACGTGCCCTTACAGTTATTTGATGAGAGCTCCGTTTCCACCTAGGTCAAAAGACATTAAAATGGCTGCAGTGCAGTGCTTGTGAATTGTTTGTCATCTGATGCCAGACCCATAGTTGCAAAGTTCATCATTCTGGGGAAAATCCCCCTAACATCTGAGAAATCACAAAAGCCTGCTTTCTCCAAAAAAAAAAAAAAAAAAAAAAAAAAAGCATGTGTGTAAAACACATTATGTAGATCCTTAACCAAATTACTCTTTAGCAGTATCACAAGCCTATCACAATCCATTTTGCATGATAGCATTCAAACTCAGAAAAGCCAGGGGAGTTTGTGATTGGAGATTTGGTACAATGAGTTTTTGTTTTTTTTAAAACTTGGATGAACGCTACAACTTTGTAAACTGTTTAATTCTTCCACTAGACTACTAAATGATGGGCAAGAATTTGTTGCATATTTTAGCTACAGCCACACAGTAACAGTTGAGAGTATGCTTCTGGATTCTGAATGCTTTTTAGAACGGAACACGTTCCAGAACTTATAAAAGCCATTATACGCATCAATATCTTAAGATACCAGGAGACCAATTGAAGCAGAACTATTTAAGAGAGCTGACTGCCTTACCCTTTTTGTGAACCCAGTCATTCCTGTAGTTAAATTTCTAGACTAAAGCAATTAAAGATTCTCAGGCTAGTTCAGTTCTTTACAGGTCATGTGCTGTTCTAGTATTTAATCTAGGAGTTTACTGTATTCCAACATGAGCTTGTAATTGTTACTATAAAGTTGCACTGATTTTTCAATTTGAGGAGAAGGAAACTTCCACAGTCATACTAATTTTAGAGTTTCTCTTTAATTCCAGCTGCCTTACCCAAACCGCTGGTGACCAACAAGAAACCAATTACAGAGTATAAGTGCTGTTTGTCTGGAAAGTAGCACTCTATCCAGCTAGCTCCTGCTAGGACTAAGACTGGATGAAGCGCAGATTTACTTGAAATCATTAGCTGCTCAGTATTGCAAGCTTAGCCGTTAAGTGCTGACCAGCACAAAACGAAAGCATTACATAAGCACTAGGAGCATTCTGGCCTTCATTAGAAAGGTAGATACCACATCTCTTTGCCATTGTTATCACAAAGTACAGCAAGCAAGAGACAACATAATTGTTAGAATTGTGCCAACACTGTCTACAGTTACTGATTTTAAAACTTTCCAGGCTGGATGGGGTTTTGAGCAATCTAGTATAGCGGGAGGTGCTCCTGTCTATAGCTGTGGGTTGCAACTAGATGATCTTAAAGGTTCCCTTAAATCAAACTACTCCAGGATTCTATGATTAATTCTGTACTTGTTGGCATTTAAAGACAATTTGCCCCATTCAAGTAGAACATGATATGAAAGGTATAGCTCACTGCTATTGCTGCTAAATTAATGCATTTCATTGGAGAAAGCCTAGAAGACTAACAGTAGCACCTCCTCTGGCATGGGACTACGCTTATGATTTTCCAGACCAATGACTGAAGCTACATAAGCGTGTGACTGCCTCCTGCAGCATTACCTCTGCACATGACAAAGTGTGCTGATGTGTCTGGTGAAGAGTCCGCTACTCCCTTTTAAGTCACTTGCTGAGCCCTCTATATTATGCGCTTTGGTATAAGTTTCCCTTTTTGCTGCCTGGCATCCTTATTTATCAGTTTAAGATACCTGATGTGGCAGATTAGTAATAATAACCAGACCCCATCCCCCAGACATGAAGACTAGAGCCACACAATAGATACTGCAGATTTAAATTTATAGTTGGACTTTTATAATAATTAAGATTAGCACAAGATTCATAACCATAAATTATACATTGTTATCTAAGTACATAAAATGTTAATGATACAGGTATTTGAAGAGCGGCACAAAACAGTAATACAGCCTCATAGGCATTCTCAAAAGAAAGAGGTGGGTGGTAGACACCATTGATGCTACTGCAGCACAGCAGAACTGAATCTCTGAATCTTGTTGATTCAGATAGAGCTGACTGCCCATCAGACGAGGTCAGAACATAGTGTGGCAGGAAGCCAATGTCAGAACCAACTAAACGTGCAAATAAAAAGACAAGATCATTTCCCTACTACCTCATTATTTTAATAATATATCTCCCTTCCTAGTTCTGATACTGTGCTCTTGCACCTCAACAACTTTGGCAGGCCATATGCACTCCCACATTCACTTGCCACACACAGATGAAGTTTTCTTTAGTACCATTAAATGTCAACAAGCAACATGGTCCCGCACTTGTTAAACAAAAAGGATCTGGGAAATATTTGCTCTCTGCCACGAGAAGATTTATTTTCTTTGAGTTTCAGACCTACTCCAGAAAATATAGAACAGACTCAAACAGAATCAAACTCCAACAGCACTAATGTCCAGAAAAGGAAACTTCCCCATTATTCCTCTAAACATTCAGAGCACAAGTATTAGAAAGCCCTTCCCCCCCCCCCCCACACACACAGGACTGCAAACAAAATGGGGTAGTTGGATGAATTTGTTAAGGAGATGCTTCACTGAATTGTTAACAACTCTGCTACTTCAGCAGCTTCAGCTCAAGCTTTTTAACAACATGGTACCATACAATTTCCCAGCTACCTTTAATGGGCTTCGCAAAAGAAAGAAAAATATGCTCTCTTCTCCCTGGCCTCAAGCAGTTATTGCTATATGGGTTAGTGAAGCAGTGCCTTAACTTCAGACAAGAATCTCACAATGTCATTAACAAAAGCTGCCTTTCAGAGGCTGAAATGTAATCGGACAGTAATCAATAAATAACAGTAACAGGCATCCTGTTGAAGTCTCCTCACTGAGCAGGGCAGCTAGTGTGTTAAGACAACAGAAGGTCATCTGTGCCTTTAGGACCATCGTACACTCCTTAGAGAAGTTAAAAAGGGAAGTGAAGAAAGAAGAGACAGTGAAGGTCTGTCTGTCAGAGAACTAGTTACATATTGAAACCATAAACAGGTGGCTGGGTGAATCCTGGTGCTGTGTATCCATATGGAAAGTTTGTCTGGGGAGGTACTGCACTGGGGCCTGCTGTTAACATCAACTGCTGGCCTGGAAAAGCATGAGGAAAAAAAAAGAAAAAAAAAGAGTTAGTTTACATACCCAAGCTTTCCTAATACTAGCTGTACTATGGGACAAGACTATGAGACTTTTCGCTAAAAATTGGCCACAGTGCAAGCACACATTAGCAAGTTACACTATTACTCAACATGCAGCAGAGCGGGCATTTAGGCCATCTGCTCTTGCTACCAGAAAACTAAAAGCAAGACAGGACTCAGATGAAAGAGGAATATCAACTGCTTTTGAGGGTACAATAATGATGGCTTGTTTTATGATGGCTTGTTTTGAAGAGACCATATTAAAAGCCAAACTGATACTTTAAACACCATGCATGGTCAGAACTGAATAGTAAAGCAATTCAAGCAATTAGTTCAGTCTGTTAGGTCTCAATCCAGAGAGTGCTACAAAAGATCTGAACACACCTCAACAGATTTGTTTTCATAACTAACAGCACACATGCTTCATGCATATGTTAGATTTAAAGTTCATGTTTATATCAGACAGTGAACCATTCACATCCTTCCCTTACCAGCCACTTCTAGATGCTTGTTAGCAGAATGCCTCTTCAGAAGGGCTTCTAAAACAGCAGCACACTTGAGGACAGCTACATTTTTTTTTGGCTGCTTTTGTCTCAAAATGAACGAAATAGAAAGCCAGTCTGCCTTTCAGCTTGGAAGAGCTGAAAGCAGACACATTCCTCTTTGACAGGAACAGTAGGAGGAATTAGCATGCTTTATAAGTTACTTCTGGAGTTGGGCACACCTTGGTATCCCCTCTCCTGTTACTATACTGAAAGCCTATTCCTAAGCTAGTGTTGTCAGCCACGTAAGAGAAGTAGGTCTTCAGCTGCACTTTAAGAATGAGACATCCCTTCAACTGGCACAGCTTTTCTAGAAGAGACAATGACTTTGCTAGCTTCTGGAAACCAGTGTACTTTGGAGGTAAGTCACTTAAGTTACCTCCACAGAGAAACCAGGGTGACAAAAGGTTCTCAATTAAAGCCAAGTATCTCACATACCAAATACTATTGGAGTAGGTTCAGTTACTTGCTCCTCTTCTTTCCTTAGACTTTCAGAAGCATCAAGATTATCCACCTACATTGAAGTGAACAGGAGATGTATGAAGGACTTGTCTAGGAACTGTACCATCACATGAGAGTTTTCATGTCTGGTACTGTAGCTATCAAGGAATCCTTTCGTTATTAATGTAGGTTGGAGACTGTGGCTGGGTACACACAATCGTGCAGACTGACTCCACATATTGTAAACCTGCCCTCCCAGTTTGCTTTAAGTTTACTGCAATTGCTGTCACGGGTAGCTGAGAAAAACCACCATTACCTCCAAAAGTGCATGGTTTTTCATGGCGCTGTTCTATTCACTATTAACTCAGTGACCTAGAAAACAAGCCAACAGATTGTAGTTCCAAGGATCATCTCAAACGGGCCTAATCTACAGTTACCTATTAACCTGCAAGCCCTCTTCGTTTCAAAAAGAGCACCAAGGTATGTGCAAATATTCCAGATCCATTAATATCTTATCTACAACTAGAAATCTGCGTTACAGAGTACTGGTTTAATTGCATTAACATTTACATAGACTCTTCTTGGAAGAAACTTTAGAGCTGTGTGTTCTAGTAGTACCATCTTCTATATAGAACCCATCTGTGAGAAACAAAGCTGTTAATGACAGTCTTTTGCCAAATGTTACAGTAGCACAGGAAACCTGAACACAGCTTTAAACTGGAAAAAGAATGAAATGGTGGGCAGAAAAGGCAACAGTACCTTCCTTCAGGTTTAAAAAGTTGCATATTCCATAGGCAAACCACTGAGAATGAAAGCTGCAAAGCCACATAACCATACAAATTCATACCCAGATGCAGGCAGTACTAATATCCTGAAAAAATATTTCAGTTAGCTCAGTACCTTTTTTTTTGCCTCCTTTCCCACTAAAAGAATCACATCCAGTATGACAAGTGCTGCAAAAGGTGTTTCTAATATACTTCAAAGAGGTTATCTAGTTCTTAACAGTTCCCTGAATTTTTGAAGCTTGCTCGTCAAAAACTTAAGCAGCCATAGGCCTTTAACTCATTCAACTTTGTCTTAGTTTCAGCTGGGATGCAATTGATTTCTTCAGAGTTTCTAGTATGATGCTATGTTTTGGTTCTAGGAGAAAAACTGTTGAAAACACACTGATGTTTACAGTTGACTGCTATACAGTGCTGTTTAGAGCTAAGGCCACTTTCAGTGAAAGGCCTAAGGAGCTCAGAGGGAACAGGATTAGGACAGCTGACTTAAACCAGCCAAAGGGATATTCCATACCATATGACATTAAGAGTTTTGAAGGGGATAGGAGTTTACCTGGCACTCTTCTGCTACTCAAGGGGATTGCAGGGCATTAGCCAGGGGATGGTGAGCAATTTCTTGTGCACCACTTGATATATACCTACCTACACACACACACACACACACACACACACAGCTGTAACTATTTTCCTTCTCCCTATCTTAGTAAATAGTTTTAACCCACTAATTCTACTTTGTTGTTGGTTTGGAGTTGCCATTTGTTTCTTGGTGGTTTTTTGTTTTTGTTTTTGTTTTTGTTTTTTAAAAAAAAAAAACTGTCCTTCATCCCAGTGGGAGTGGGGAGAGTGAACAAATGGCTGTAGTGCTCAGCCATCTGCAGGGTTAAATCACAAACTTACAGCTGTCAACCTAACAGTTCTTTAGAATGACATTAAACATTAGCATCATGAATACTATCCCTATTAATATGGGCCAAAGTAATTAAGGTCTACCATTTTCAAATGAGGTGCATTGTTGTACTTATGACCATTAATTCCCACTCTCCTGAATTAGTCTTTACTCTTTACAGCCCCAAAAGCACTAAGGACCTTGGAACAGAAGTTCAGTTACTCCCTCTGCTGGAAAAATCTGCAAGCGTGCTGAAAGCAGACACCTTGAAGAATGGACAAAAGCAGCAGAGGCTAAACATCTTTCTGGTTTGCTGCCTCAAAGTGAAGTTATTCAAGAGGTTTCCAAATGAACGCTATCATACTGTGTGTGCCTAGTTTCTTCTAGGGCACAGGCTAGCCTATGCTTTCAAATCTTTCTCTTATGCATTAAACCAAAGCTTATGCATTAAACCAAAGGTAAGTTCCAGAAAACATATACACTCCGCTGATAAACCAACAATTTGTTTTGGGCTTTTAAAGTTAGACATGTGACAAAATTTTAGACATACCACATTCAAGACCCATTCTCTAGTACTATGACTGTAGTTAATTCAGACTAAATTAGTTCCAGTGTAAACCATTTTCACCACACACATTTTCCTTCTGGCAAGTTACCCAGTGTTTAGTAAGTAACCGCTTGTAAATCCAACCAGCAATTTAAAAACCATGATCTTAACCTAAACCTTATATGGAAGAATACAAGTGGACTTTTGTGGCAAGTTTTCCTTCAGTAGAATATGAGGATGAAGAGTTTAAGATCGGTGCAAATCTTTTACTGATGCTTTAGGTTACTAGTCAAGCTCACAGTGCCTGGAAAGCTACAAACTCTAGAAATTTATATTTTAACAAGCAATTTGCACTTAGAATTCATCATGTTATGTATTAACTTCTTTCATCTTACGAATATCATCCTCCCTGCCACAAGGTATTTGTGATACAATAATCAGGAGTCCCAATAGTCAAGTCCTCAATCACTTGCTTCCATTTCCCATGAAAAAAGGGCAGAGACTGGTTGGATTTTTAAGTTATTTATGATCAGTCATCCTCGTAGCATTAGAAATGAACAGAAAATGAGTTAGAGCTAAATGACACTGCTCTTCTGGCAGAAGCTACAGCTAGATTCTTGTAAGAGAATCCTAGGATATTGAGAAACGCAAATGAACACAAAGTTTGAAATCAGAGTGTCACCTTATAGAGCAGCTCATCAACCTGCAAGAAAATTCAGAGGGGAATTCTTAACATGACTGATTAGAGGCAATTTGAAGAAATCACTTCTAGATTACTGATTTCAACAAAATTCTTAATTCTGATGATCTAAGCAACCCTAGAGCCTTTTAAGGAAGAATCTTAGTTTAATATGCTAGGGCTGTTTGAGACAAGCATTTCTAGACTGCACATGATCAGAATCTCTCCTCTCTCAATTCAGGACTAACTACTGGTATCAAACTGGTATTGTACAGATTATGCACTGAAATTCTGTTTTCAATGAAAATTCACTTTTAGCAGTCTACCGTTATGGCTGGTGTACTGTTAGTCACACAGAAGCTATGCTTTCTGTAACAAGAAAACTGAGTGCTTTCACAGTTACTTCAAGCAGAAAGTGATACTAGTGCTCTCTAGCAAATTTGTAGTTTAATCAACTACGGAGACATTCTAAAAAGTATGTACCCTGTTGAAAGCAGAAGTTAACTACATCTCTTTCAAGTGCCAAGCTGCCTATTAAGAAGTGTAGCTATTTAGCCTGAAGTGACTGAACTCAGAGAAATTCCCAGAGGATTTAGCGGGAGGAATAATAACGCTCCAAGTACAATGCAGAGAGCTTTACTCAGTTTGCATAAAACTAATTGTACAGCAAACTACAAATTACAGTTTCTCAGTCTATGCAATACTCACTTTGGTGAGGTATTCTCTCATGACTTGGATGAAATAAGGCATTGCAAAGTCCATGATATTATGCCTCCATGCCAATTCAAGGACTACATCTGGGTGCAGCAAGTCGTAACATGTGAAAAGGCAGGCTGCAAAACATTCCTGCTTGCCTTCTTCCAGAAACCACTGAAGCAGCTTTTCTGCTAGTTCTATATCTTTGGATTCTGCAGCATACTGCATTGCATCCTGCAGAAAAGGACAACAGGTAAGCTTGACCCTTGCCTGTCAGCTTCTTGCTCTCCACCTTATGTACATGCTACTACTAGCCAGATGAGTGGGTATTAGGCAAAACATGAAATTAGTCTTATATATCAACACTGTCGTGTACGAGCTAAGTCACAACATAAGTGCTCAATTAAGTCCTCTTATTTTGAGTGAAAACTGTACAGATGCTATTGGTAGATATGAGTGATCTGAATACAGGATAACTTTATCAAATTAGATTTAAGATACAGATTTGAAATTACAAGCTATTCTATTCTAAGATTCTTTCCTTAAATTCCAAGCAAAGAGCTAAGACTTATTAGAACAAACTAAAGATATGAAGAGAACAGAATTCACTCAATTTCCTGAAGATCTATGCTTTGAGATCAGACTTTTCACAGTTAGGAAGAAAGGCTGCATTAGCTCACCTTATACAGATGGTCTTTCTTGCATAGCTCCACACTCTGCTTCCAGCGGTTGTTACCCTTATACAAGTATGCTGCAATACGCCTAAATTCAATGAGCTCATGCTTTTCCAGACGCTGAGCCAAAGCTATGTTATCAAAGTTGTCATAGGCATCAATGGAAGCTCTCAAACCCTGTTTGAGATAGAATTGTTACCCATGCTTCCAGATGGTATTAAATGAGCACTACAGAAGAGAAGCATCCAAACATAGCTCACAAGTGCTTAGGTTTTTTCAGCTGGATGTTGATGATATGGCTGGCTACAGCTCTTTTGCCATGCACATTTCAGGCTTTTGTCTTGAAGGTTGTCTCTAATATAACTGATATCTGCTTCATTTTCAGGTTATCACATTATGACTCAAGCCCCACCCATGCCCCCAAATGGTCTGATTCTACAACCCCATTACTGTTGTACTACATAAGATCCCTTCTGCTCAAGGGAAACATGCTTTGTCAGCTTGGAAACAATCAAACTATGTCTTCATCTTTTTTGAAGAACAAGATGCGCACCTCGGAAGTACTGGTATCTTTTGTGAGGCTTACCTGATAGTCCTCCTCCTGTGTTAAAAGGTTGTTTAGAGCTTCATTAACTCCTTTATTATTGTGGTTCTGCACTGAACGCAAATAAGGCTTTACTAGTAGCAGCTGATTAACCTGGAGTTGAGATAATTTAATACACAATTAAACCAGGAGTATTGAGTGTCACAACAAACTCCCATTCGTTATTACCAAAGTTTATGCCTACTTCCAGGATCCTTCAGAACTGCCAACATGTCATTTTGAGTTGCCAGAAATAAACTCAAATGGCCTCTTAGGCCAGTTATGCTAACTCTTCTAGTGCTTCCCATATCAAACTAGGATTGGACTGCTTCTCAGTCCTTCATGCTGGAGATAAAACCACCTGACAGATACCAGCTCCTTCTTCCCCAGACAGAGGTTGGACTTTCTGTTTATTCAGTATCTCCCAAACTAACCTTCGAGAAAAAATTGACTGTCCTGGTGTGATCCAGTCGTGGGGATAATACAAGCAGAAGATCATTGATCAGCAGAGGTTTGTAGTCTAAGTAGAACTGCAAGGCTTTGTAATACAGCTCCACATTCGCCACCTGTGTGGTTACACACTAGTTAGTACTTCAAATAGAAGTGAATTTAAGTGATCCAAACTAAGCAACTTAACTCAGTACAAAGTTTACCTGATTCTTAAAGGAGTAAGTTTCCTTCTACAAGCCAGAAGCTTTACACTTGCATTCAGAATTCTTGCTCAATTTTATGAGTGCTCTTTGTGTCATCTGCTTCCAGATGAAGTCACAACCTACCAGGAGTAGTCCAAACCAATACGAACTCATCTACTGTTAAGAGATCCTGGTATCGGCATCCCAGTAGACTTGGAGGTAATGTGGCTATGTGTTGAACCGCTAAAGACTATGGTTTTAACCACTCAGTTTTATATATAGATAAATATAGTTTTATATAGTTTTGGGTTTTTTTTTTTTTTTTTTTTTTTTTTTTTTTTTTTTTTTTTTTTTTTTTTTTTTTGCCTTGAAACCTGTAAAACCAGTAAGAATAGGTACAGTCTGGAATGTTATCTAAACTATTCATTATCCCACTATTCTCCACTACATTCGTAGGACTGGTCACCCCAGTTCTCCCACAGCTGGAAACATTTGCAAAAGTCTCTCAAGAACTGTTACACCCTCTAAGACAGTGGTCATGTTATAGAAACTACAGAGGTCATACCTCTGCCTGTGATCTATGATCCTGAACAGACCCTGAAAACACTGTCCTGTCTGATGCTACTCAACAGGATGTGAGGCACAACAGAAAACAAAGGATACAAGCTTCCATTAACATGTGTTTATAAAAAATTTGTAAGTTTTGTTTTAACTACAGCAAGAAAAAGTAGCTTAAGCAAGTCTTTCTAAAAGGGGATTCTGTTGTACATTTTTGCCACAGTTCTGAAATAATCTTTCAGTACCTTCATAGAATCATAGAATTAATTCAGTTAACTAGTCATTCCAGACTGTCTCAGCTGAAAACAGAACACTCACCTTGGCAACTATGTCTTTAAACTGTCCTTCCTTCCAGGCATCGGTAGGATGATTCATCATAGTAATTATTGCATTGTCATACTCCTCATATTTGTCATAGAGGAATACAAGCTCTGCCCAGAGATGAGCCTGTTCTGCAGCTCTGAGCACCTGATAGAAGAAGAAAATAGTCAATCCAATTTACTGACATCTTCCTTTCTTCACTTGCATTCACTGATATCTTCCTAACTTTGCTTGCAATGTAGTTGCTGAATACCTTTGGAATATTAACTCTAGACCAGAAGAGCTCCAGATGTTCCCTCATTTTCTGGGGCTTAAATTTGGAGTATAAGATGGCGAGTTCAGTAAACATTCCCATGTGAGCACGCTCTAGGCCCAAAGCAGCTTCCAGAAGGGCAATCAATTCTTCAAAGTAGCCACGATCCTGGATATTAAGAAAATAACAGTTAATTGCTAATTTATGGCCAACTACTACTTAAAGCTCAATTCAATAAACTCTCCTTCCCAAATGAGTTTTCTAAGACACTACTCTAGTGAGGCAATGGAATTGTAAGAGATAGGAAACTGAAAACTACCATCCTTACATTTACTATAAAAAAAATTGCACGCAAATATTGCAAAATAGAAAAACGTATTCAATTCACTTCTTTAGTCATTAAAAATCAGTCTCACAGGGTGTCAAGTTTTAGCAGTAACTATTTTATCAGCAGATATAACAAAGCAGTATAAGTTTTCTAGGGCATAAACAGTGACCTAACCTGATAATAACTAATCAGCTCTTCAAGTTCATCAGCATGGATGACTATGTGCAAGCCACATATCTGTGCCAAGCGGAATTCTCCTCCATCCACACAGGCAAAACATACCTGCAATGAGAGGTAACAAATGGTGAGTACACAGCAAAATACTGCAATGCTTACATCAATTCCTCATATCAAAGAACAAAGTTGATTAACAAAGCTTTACCAAACTCAAGGTTTATTCCAGTTCCAAACAGGTATTACTATAATTGTTCTATAATTAAAGTCTGTGCCATTCATTTCATACTGTTATAAAAATCCAGCTTTATAATTTTGGGGAGGTTACAGTTGATAGATACAGACATGCTCTGTAGCTAGAAACAGTTAGCAAGCAGAGATCATTGTAGATGGGCATGAATCAACCGTTCTTTAAGTCCCACATTACTGACAGAGCAAAGGAGTCCAGTTATGCTCAAAAGCAATACCAGAACACATTCTATAAACAAAAAACAAGTTTTAAATTACCTCCTTCCAAGTCCTTGTGCTGTTGGCTTTGCGGCCACTGTCCACCGCTGCCTGATATTCTCCAAGGTGCACCAAGGTAGATGCCAAGCGAGCAAAGTTAGATACATTGTTATAAAGTAGTTTTGCTGCTTCATACATATCCTCTTCATAACAACGATCACCAACCTGGATTAGAAGTCCAAAGTAAGCAGGGGTAACAGCAAGAATCAAGTCAGCTAAGCAGCAAGTCAGATGTGGGAACAGTGATCAAGGCATACCTGCTGTATATGGGCATTATTAGGGCCGCTAATAAATTCCTCCAGTTCTGAGAGACGATTAGTTTTCGCAAAGGCAAAAATAAGTTCTGTCTCTACATAAGACTCTCTAGCCTTCTTCCTGGCCATCTGCAAGAACTTGACTAGGTCCTCCCAGTTATCTTGAAGAAAGAAGAAATATTTAATGCCCTCTATTTAGTTATTCTGTATTGTTCCCCTTGCCCATGTTAGGAACAGTTTCTACTAGAATACTCCGTGATACCGATACTAAACCATTCACACTTGAGATAAGGTATTCCCCACTAAACAAGGGGCATTTTCACATAGCCATCAAATTCTGCCATACAGCTAAATCAGTACACTATACTTGGCTGTAATTAGGCCATAACTGTCTAAATTACCTCTACATAAAAGGTCTCCCTTCGATGTAGCAGTACAGACAAGCTTTTTGACAGGAATCTCACTAATCCATAGATTAGCTGATCCAATTTACTCTGAAACATATCTTGCAAATCTCAAGAACCCTTACCGTTTAAGGTAGATGAAATAACCCAATTCATATCTGAGCATCCTTAAGTTTGAGGATGATTTGGCTTACCGTTTCTATTAGCTGCTTGAACAACCTCCATGTAGGCAGATGGATCGTCTGCCTTTATGTAAGAGTCAATGGCTTCTTTTACCAAGTCTTTCTGCAACTGTGCTCTGGCTAGCTGGCTCCATACTGATGGTTCATTACATCTCTCTGCAAATTCATAAGCACGGTCTAAATTCCCAATGTGCTCAATCAGCACCTGTTTGAAGTCGAAGTTGCAAGTTAAAAGAAAAATTAAATTAAAAAAAAAAAAATCAAAGCCTTAAGTTGTCCTTCTTCAAGTACACAGGTTGTTTTAAGCAAGCAATGCAAAACTAACTGCCTTTAGAAAAAGTTATTTCTATCCAGTAAAGTAGAGGCAGCAAGAATAAAACTCCTGCTGCTATAATTTCTCTTCTGCCTTGAAATCAGCATGCTGTCCTGAAGCATAATAACACCTGATACTATTCAATCCTCCTATCCCCTTCAGGTGAAAGGTTCTGAGGTAGCCACTCAGAATCAAACACAGCACACATGCAAGCAAGTAGCACAACACACAGATATTCTTAATTAGTTTTAGCAGATATGCATCTGAAGTTATTACTTTGAATTTGTTCTGTTATTCTTCACACATATTCCCACTTCTCCTTACAATTTGATATCATACAGGAACCACACTGTTACATCTCAGAGATTTAAGTTACAGCTACTCTGAGAGAATCAATAATATACTTCTTCTCATGCTTTCTATTACTAGCATTCTATACCTTTGAAGGAACCACACCTCACCTGAACTGCTGAAGTATTAACATCAAATTTCCTGAATATAGCAAAGGCTTCTTCATACAGCTCGTTACTGATGGCAATGTTTGCAATATCTGGAGCATCATAGTTATCCAGTCGATTAATGTACTCCATTACACGAGTGCGGTCGGCTTTAATGGCAGTTAGGATCAGCAGATTCTGGAGATTCCTTTGGTTAACAAAAGGCATAGGCAATGCAAAATAACACCTACTTAAGTGACACGTATCGTACATGCAACAAAAGCTACATACAGCTGCTTGCTGTTGATAGCAACAACCTTTCATCCCCAGATTGATGAGTATTGATATTTGCCTTGCAAAAGAAATGGCTTGCCAGTGTTGGTGCTGTTCTCTTTCAATAGGTCATTGCAAATTGAATAGCATGAGTGAGCTTTATATTTAAAACACAACACCTCCAATTCTACTTTTTCACCTGACAATTCACATTTAGGAGTGTTTAGGTCTTAGATCCAAGAAACCCACAAATAAAGAATTTGGATTCTAGATGTGGATTACTTCACAACCTAAACAGACATACTAAATGTGCTAAATTTTGGGGGGGGAAAATGCTCTCTTCTTACCTGTGTTCACTGAATACAGAATTATCCAAGACAATTTTTTCCAGTAACTCAATTAATTCATTTGGAAGGTCTGCAGTCATGAAAGCTTTCACTGTGACAGAAACCTCCTCTGGATCCTGTGTCTCTGATAAAGCTGTTTGGACAACCTGGATTTGAAGGTGGGAGAGGAGTATAAGTCTTTCCAAAATGAGATTTCAGTGAGCAACAATATAAGGTTTCAGAACTGTCATCCTCAGCAAGAAAGAGCTGCTTCTGAAGTGGATATGGCTGCTAAAAATTGCACTTTCAGAGTGCATAGCAAATGAACTAGAGGCACATCACTCCATAGGAAAGAGCAATGTTTTACTAAGTTGTCTGACCATGAAGTTCTGAGCTAATGCCTGACGCTCAAACTCTTAAGCTTCCGCACAACTGAGACGAGGCCTCAGGGGACCTTGTGGGAGAAGCCTGTTACTTTAACGTTCCATAGTGGGTCTGAGTAATTCTTATACTGAAATAGCTTGTCTTTTGCAACGTACTTGGTCAATAAGCTGTCGCCTGAATGGGTTGTTTTCTTCTAGAACATTTGCCCAGAGATCAGGGTCCTTCCTGCGTACTAGATAGCGAGCCTCACTTTTAAATAGTGAGTTCTCATTGCATACCTGAAGGAGAAGATGCAAATATTAGAATTAATATTGAGGGTAAGTATCACATGACAAGGTTAACTAGCTATGAGTCAAACATTCTAAAAGACTGACTAAAACTAGTTGCTGACCAATGCTAATGCCACAATGTTCTTACCCAACCTTTGATCTGGAAGGCTCATGGAGAAGGTCTCCAGAAGAATTCCTATAGCTTCTCTTGATTTTGCCCGACACACAAATACTGTGACAGTGGTTTCACAGTAACTATTTGCTTCTGTTTGAAGTGAAGACCTGCAGAAGCCTGAAGAACTTACATTTTAAATCTAAAAAGGGTGTCACTTAATTGGGGAATGTTAATAGTGAATTGAGGAATGGTGCTTGTGTTTAAAGCCAGAAATAAGTTACATATTTGGTGTCATTAATTTTACTCTAGAAATGTTCAGAGTAGCAAATGGCTACGTTCCCCCTGTTAAAATGCAAACAAATGTGAGATTTCCTACAGAAGTGCAACAAGTAGCTATAAATCATGACCCTATTGGTGCCACTAGTTTATATTGCCAGCTGGAAGAGTACAAATCTGAAGGACCTGACACTTTCTTCTACCAACAGATCATATTTTGTTAGTACCAGAATTAGTTCCTGAAAGTACTTTGCTGTAAGAAAATTAGTAGTAGCTCACTTTTATTTTTCAATATACATTTATGAGTTGCCTAGTTACAGAAATTGAGCCCATTCCCAGGAAAGAGCAATGTTTTTTAAGTATAGTTCTTACAGAAGGAAGAGTTTTCAATACATATCCAGAAAGTTAAAACTTACCCCAGCAATATCTCCTATCAAAACAATTGAGAGCTACCTTCATATCCTGAAGTAAGAAACGAGCTGAATACAGCTAGCTACACATTTTAACTTTACAACTACAGAGAAGGTATCACTTCAAACATAGTTGCTTCAGACAGGGAAGCTCTCCCTTTTCAGAGGAAAAACTAGATAATACCACCATTCTAACTGCCACAGTGCCAGTCCTGTCAGGAAATAACATTTACTTCCTTTTTTAAACAGGGTAAAAACAAATCATTTCTTACCCCTACTCAGCTGGCAATCTTTGTATGTACTGTCATAGAAGTACAGGTAGGAGAATGCTTTCTTTCACAGCAGTCACTAGCATTGCAGTCTGACATTAAACTCTAATGCTCAGTATGAGACACTACGTGTCTGGAGAACCATACAAAATTTCACTTTCCCCTGAACTTCCAAGGGAATTTTGAGGAATAAATTTTAGATAGGAGAGGAATGCCATCTGAATTGGTCCTTGCAGTTCAACTGCCAACATTTTTTTTTTTTCTTGTTCTAGCTATGCATCAGAGCAGCTCTCAGGGTCAATCACGACAAAGGAAAACCACATCCCCCTTTCTAGTTTCAAACTGAAGTTTCAGGGAAACTCTTCCTCCTCCTGTAGTGTTAAATTAGGTTGCAACTTGTCCTTTCGGCTGATCAAGTACTCAAGGCTCAAAACAAAAGAACAAAAAACCCTGAAGTTAACTAAGATTTAACAGTTGTCATACTTATCAGCTGAGTCCAGAAAACTTGATCTAATTTTGAGCAGCCTGTGGATGAAAAACATGAATGGCACCTTAAATCTGCAATTACATAATTTTAGTTGGGACGCAGAGCATTATAGTTCCTTGTTATGATAAAAGTTACTGTCTCCATGAAGAAGATTCATGTCTACCTCAAATCCTGAGTGAGACTGCAAGACAGGATTCTGCAAATTTTGGACAAATTGCTAACTCAGCTTTCACCTCAGGCAGCAAGTACATTCTTTAACATGTTTATAAATGCAGTTTTGCTAACCTTTATGAGTTCCAGATCACACTGGCCCCTCTCATATGCAACGCAGGCCAGATGAGGGTCTCTCTTTTCACAGTATTTGCCAACTACACGACTGTCATAGTATGGATTCTCACGAAGGAACCGCTCTGGATTATTATTACTGTCAATGTAGATTTTGGCCAATGCATTATGAGTCGCAGGTTCTTCACAGCCTTCATGAATCCTTGATTCAAGCCATGGCAACAGCAATTTAAGCCTTTGAAGAAGCAAACATTTGAGCTTTGTAAGTTGGGCTAAGGAAGCCTGACAGGTATCAACAAATATCTGGCCATATCTGACCTTCAGTTAAATGTAAGAGAAGCCTGCAGGTTCCACTAATAATTATCATCTTCCTTTTCAACTTCTGTTCTATTACGTGGCTCTTAACACTTGAAATCATTTTTTTCATTTTAGAGGTAACTGCAAACTAATTACACAAGGTGCTATGTGCCAAAAATGATACCGTGAAGACAGTTTTATCTAGATTTACCCCAAAGGCACATCTCATGGATGGCAAATTTAGAGTTCAAACGCTGTATTATTCATCATGCAGTGCTGTTGGGCATTCCTATATTGCTCAAACAACCAGGAGACTTGATAGAAAATCTAAGCTGTTGCTCTATAAGACACAAAAGCAATTTAATATTGTATCATTCAAAAAAGCTGCACCCAACTTGGGTATATATCAGGGTCAGGAAAGCCTGTGAACGGTGTTTACAGGTGTATCTTCATTACCGATTTCTTTTTTCCACTTCAGCCACCAGCTCATCTGTTGAGAACTGGCCTCTAACCACCATGATCAAATTCTTAATGACATCTTCAGAACAATCCACATCAAGAAGCCCTCCAACTACTGCTGGTATGCGGCTGGGGTTCACCTGGAATAAGCCACCACTATTAAAATCAGTTATTAGTGCTATTAATAACCCATCCCCTATCTTCCACACAAAGTTCCAGTTAAAAGTTTAAACTATGCTTTAAGAGCAGTGTATTTTGAGTTACTGATGCATTTTTACATGAATTATAGGAAAAACTCTGCTTGTAGGTTTGTGATAGACAAGAGCTCAGTAAAAGGCAACTGCATAAGTGCGAGCATGAAATACACAGTTAGATCTACTTTAATTTTGGGTTTGTTTAGCTTGGAAAAAAGAAGGTAATGGGGAGATAATAAGGAGACCACATTGCATCCTTTCAGTACCCTGAAGGGAGATTACAAGCAGGAGAGGGACAGACTTTTTACACAGTCTGATATTATAGGACAAAGGGGAATGGCTTTAAACTAATTGGAAAACTGAGGTTAGACATGAGAAAGACTTCTTTTATTCAGCGGATGTTGAGGTGCTGAAACAGGTTGCCCAGTGAAGCTATGGATGTCCCACTTCTGGAGGCACTCAAGGCCATATTGGATGGAAACCTGGACAGTCTGATCTAGTGGGTAGCAATCCTGCTGACAGTTGGGATTAGGTGATCTTTTACAGTTCCCTCCAACTTAAGCCGCTCTAAGATTCCATGATTAGCAAACCAAAAAGTTAAATTTCTTAGAAGGAAGGAAAGAGCAACACCTTAAAAGTGCATTTGCCTTACCTTCTGCACATAGATCTCTATATACTTCTGCAGACTATTGCGGTATAAGTAGAGCACCAGGTCATGAACAAAGTCGAATCGATCACAGACAATGATCAGAGGAAGCTGGTCTGTTAGCTTTGCCTCCTATATTGTGTGGAAAAAAAAAAAAATGTGAGATAGCATTCACCGTTTGTTAAAGCATTTTCAAAGTAGTATAGCACAATTGAGTTGTTTCACAGCTAGAAATCACAAAACATTCAAATTTAAGACTGCTGAGCAAATAGTTAACTTCAAAAGCAAGTTAGCCACTATGAAAATCATATGGTCAGTCCAGCAATTGAGTTTTAAATTTAAGCTCTTGAAGTCGCACATTAGGCCTACATCCCTAGCTTCAGCAGAACTATCTATTCACATATCCATTCAGAAGGCGATTATTGGGCAACAACTTAGTGCAAAAATCAAACGGCATTAAAATCCCACTTTACCAGTCACAAAGTATGCAAAACATTCTGACAGTTGACTCCAGTTTTGCCAAGCTTTGTCTAATCAATATCGTTGCTAAAGTTTCAGCTGAATACTTCAACATATTACTTCCTTCTGCCAACACTGACCCACCTACTGTTAAGTGAAGATAGCTTGTACCCCATTCGATCTCTGTACCAGTTTGATACCAATTCGATAGCTTGTACCAGTTGAAGGAGGAGAGCAGTGGGATTGGGATGCTTTCTGTCCACTCTGTCACATCTCCAAGCTGCTCAGACACTGGAGCTGTGTCTAGACTAACAAGCAAAAGGCATGAAGGCTGGTATGCGACAGTCCAGCTGTTTAAATGGACATCTTTTGGATCATGCCAATTCAACACCATGAAAGCGACTTATGAACAATATGTGGGCATGAGGGAAGGCTGATGGTTGGACTAGATGATCTTTCCAGTCTTTTCCAACCTTACTAATTCTATGACCTATGGGTTAATTTTTACAGGAACTGTGGTTTTTTCAGAGATTGCCAAGAAGGAGCTACTGCATGCCTGGAAAAGGACTGGATTCCTATTCCACTTACATAGTTGACTATTTATAGCCATGTCAGTTAAAACTTGAGTTGGTATTACCCTCCCTTTAGAAGGCTGAAGTTCTGCTACTCTACAGAGATTGATTTGTTGGACAGAGAATTTACCTTCAGAAAGTTCTTCACCCGTTCTGGGTTATAGCAGTTACTTTCACGGCAGATTCTTTCTACTTCCTTTATCTGACCAGTTTTGCAAGCTGCCTGGATATATTTGAAGTGAACATCTGGATCCTGGCTGAAGTTTACAATGGAACCCAAGAAATAGAACAGTCCTAGAAAGAATTACATTTTTAACCCAGTTAGAAGGACAAGTCAAGTAAGTACAGACTTATGAACTTCATTTGATAACTTAGTTCAACATCGCTAAGAGCAGTTTTCATTTAACTACAGGAAAACCAGTTTTGGTTTTTTTCCTCCTTTCCAGATTTTTCTTTCTCTTTGAGAGAGGGCAAAAAGACTTTCTAGAACAAGAGTTATCCCAAGAACACTCTTGAATAAATGCATGCTAGGATCCAGCCAAGTGAAAGTACCTTTCCCATAAAAGCTGATGCCCTTTGTATCTGCTCTTCCTTTTAATACCGTACCTTCATAGCTTTTGAAAGATTCAAAAAGCTCCACAAGAGACTGGGTGCCAAGCTGCTCATGATACTTAGAAGCAACCTGTACACAGAGTTGTAAGTTTTGCCTAATGTTGGCTGACAGCATAGCACGCAAGCACTCTACAGAGTCTTCAACAGAGAGAGAGCCAAAGAAATTCACAAGCCACTGCGAAGAGAAAGAAGCTTCACTCAGTAAATCATAGAGGATTCAACCAATTTTTTAAAATGTGACAAATGGAGTTTCTACCCCAGCTACTGTAGGTAAATCTTTCACACATTAAGACCAAAGACTGGAAATGAAACAGACTGACTTTTTTTTTTTAAACACAACTAAAGCAAAAACACAGCTTGGAAGATTTGAAATGCCCACCGAGGAAACTGAGGGCAAACTTAAGCCATCAAAAATATAGACTGAGGTCTAATAATTAACTGAATAAATGTTATTGAGTCACAGTTACACATACTGCTTGGGTACCTACAAAACATCTTAAAGCTGCTGCAGGAATTTTAGCAGCTACTGGAGTCACTTCAAATACAGAACCTCAGGCTTTCATTTGCACAGACTTACCTCAGGATTCAAGAGATGCGTATGAACAACAGCACGTTTAATATCATAGAGATCAGTGTAGTGTTCCAAAGCTCGCTGGAGCAAGCCTGCCTTTTCACATAACTGGGCAATATGAGCACGATCATAGTGTGTAAACATTTGGTTTCCAAGGATGGCATCTGCAACCTACGAGATTAGATTTTGTATGCAGACTGTTAGAAAACAACAACAGCTCAGACTAAAAGTTGTTGAAAAGACATAGCAATGACTGACTCATAGTCTTTCATGTTGGTAAACTATATATAGACATCAGATTGTTGTAAGAAGTGCAGGTGCAAAATATCAGCACAAGCCTTCCAATTTTTCTCCTTCATTTTTTGGAGGAACTAGGTTAAGAGTCTTACCTGTGGGGCATGAATCAAATTCATTTCCAGCAGACGAGTCTGAAGGTGGCCTTCTGCTGGACAGTTATTTTTCAAAGCATCCAATAGAAAGGATGTGCATTGCTGAATAAGACTGTTCTCCATGAATACATCCACAATCTGTTGAGAATCATCAAGTTGAAAATATATATTTATATATTTATATATATATATATACACTCCCTTTTCTATATATGTACACATTTATATTTTTATCTGTACACACCTAATAGCCTGTCTAGAAAGACAGCTCATTCCAGCACTTAATGTGCTATATTTACTCTTTTTATCATAAGATGATAAAGATGACAAAAATTTCACACTTCCTTTTTCTCTAGAACTTGAGGTGTACACTACTTTGACCTATTATGCCAGACTTTGCCACCAACTATTTAGTTTTAACAAAGCAAGCAAAGCCCATCCCTTCTTTTCTGATAGGAAAGTTTCTGCAAGAAAAGTTAACACTTTTTCTAAATACTTCACTTATTTAATAAAGTAAGTTGTTGTCTAATGACTTAATCACAAGTGGCCTCTGTGAGCAAGTGCTCATTTATCTTCCTATAAATTCTCTGCTACCATAAGAGTTCACACGTGCTCTAAAGTCAGCAGGAGCTTTCTAAACTGACAGTAACATTCTTCATTGCATAGACTAAGACTGTGGCAGATTCAGGATCAAGATTATTGTAATAGACCAGCTTGCACAAGAACACTTGCCTCTAATGGCAACCAAACTTGACTAGTTTAGTCCCTTTTCTAACCAAGCCAACTAAAGATCTGAACTGGCCTTACCAGTTCCCAAAGCGGTACTATGCTATTACCTCTGTCTAGAAAGAGACCAGTGCTCTTGTTGTAGGCATCACCTGGTTAATGTTAGCCAGTGGCTCCTCGTCCTGTACCAGCATCTGAGAGAACTGCAGGCCCTGCTCAGGACTGACTCTCATCACGCTTCTCAGCAAGAAGATCCAGTCTGGGGTATAGCCAACCTAGAGATTTCAGGAAGAGTCATGCATGTCTGGAAAGTTTAAAATATTTTAAGCCTTCTAAATCTGTAGTGTAAGTGCTATGAGCCACACTGAAGCTTGTAACACCCATTCTCCATCTTCCAGGAATTCTCAGACAAAAGCATTGTTTGTATGTTAACACAAATTCAGTATTTGCTTATTTAGCAACTGAACTTATTCTAGGGCAATTTTGTTGTTGACTCAGAAAATTACTAGAAACAAATCAAGAGTCTGAGGGCATTATCACACACAGTCCTAAATTTCTAAGTGCATATCCCACAAACTACTTTGTAATTTGCAAAAAAAATAAAATAAAATAAAATAAAAAAATCAAAATAAAAAAATCTCTTCCTTAATGATTTAGGAAGAGTCATTTTTTTTTTTTTTTTTATAAGCAGCTTGAGCCAGTTCATAATTTGATAGTATAAGAATTCTGGAGGTTCTAATTTCAACTTTCATAGACCACGTTATTAGACATTAATCACATACTATGAATTCTGCTGTTTCTTAGTCTTTGCTAGTTATCCTGTTTTTGAGTTAAAAAAAAAAAAAAAAAAAAATCAAATTTCTCATGGAAGATAACTTGAGAACACATACGCAATAAACATAAGATATAGTCTGGCAGCTTGTGATAAACAACTTTACCTTTTTAGCATACAGTACTATTTTCTGGAATTGACCAGTTTCAGCAAAGCACTGAATCACTTTGTTTGGCACATTAGCGCGAAGGTAGACACTGAGTGCAAGGGTTGGGTCAGCTGTCTTCACCAAGTCTCCCAGCTCCTCTGAACACTCCAGCTGAAGAGAAGTGATATTTTGTCAAGCACAAGTATCCATATATGTAGCATGAGTGAAAGAGTTATTCACACTCAACTGCTACAAGGCAGCCAAATAAATTTAGCATCAAGATCAAGCCTACCTTGTCTTCCTTCAGCCATTTCTCCAGAAGCTGCTTGCGGCCTTGCTGTAGAACAGGGCGACAGAGCTCCAGAGACTCAAACTTGTTCAGCTGTCCTTGGTCAAGCAATATTCCAAAGTACTGGAGCAGTGGAGAGGCATGCCCTGGCTGAGCTGGTACACTCTGGAACTTCCTGATTGTATCACTGGTACGTAGAATTCCCTGTAGAGGCACACGATACAGAGATGTAACATTTAATTTGTGAAAGCTGAATAGCGTTAGAGGAGAAAAAAAAACAAAACCAACAACAACAAAAACCAAAGCAGGTGTTAAGTTCAGCTACACACTGAAGAATTTACTCTTAATCTTTCAGGGTGGAGATTTTAATCAAACCTAAACCAAAAGATCTTCTAGAAAGAAGTCAGTGCCCACAGCAAGTCAAGTCTGTGTTGGAAAAGTATGGCAGATGCTCCCTGATGGTATACAGGAGAACATATTAGACAGAACAATGAAATGAACTACAGACAGCTTAGGTTAGTATTGAAGCCTTTTAGCTCTTGAATGTCAAGTGCTGAAGTGCAAGTCAACTAAGCTAAGGCGGTCTAAATGGATTCTAACCTCTACACTTAAAATAACTCACCTTTGGTGCAGATGCAGCTACTTTAGCAGCATCTGCATAGCTTCCTTGAGCAAACAGTGTGTTAAACTTTCTGGCAAATAATTCCTCTGCACCAGCAAGATTACTACGTATAGCCATACGCAGACCCAAGTCAGGATTCTGGAGAACATTTGTGGCATAGTTCACAATGTTGTCTTCTTCGACACATACAGAAAGCACCTGGAAAGGATAAAAGGCATATCTAAGACGTACTGCCCTTTCCAATACTACTGAATACAACATAACAACTGAATATCTATTCAGACTGTCAGCAAAGCAGCAGATTATCCAAAAGGAAAACAAGTCAGTTTCTCCTTTCAAGCAGTCTGTACTAGGAGAAGTTAAAAAATGGATAAAAATCAAGTAGTTACTCAATCCCTGCAACGATGTTTTTTTTATATCAAGTCACTCATTAGGCTTACTTACATTCCATCACAGCCTTAGAAGACTTAAAAACACACTACTGGATTAGTTACCTGTCCTTTTTTGTTGACACCAATAATGCCTGAGGTAGGTTCATGAGAAGCTGTGACAAAAATAGTGTCGGCGCTAATACGGTTCATGTAGATGCAAACTCCAGACTCCAAGTCATACAGGTGAATATATCCATACTTTGTGATCAGGTAGATAACACCATGCTTAATTCCAATCTGTTAAAAGATAATCTTTTACTAGTATAGACTAACACAGCAACAGTTAAGACAACTGCCTTTAGCCTAGTCACAAGACAGTACTGCAATGACATGCCTTTGCACTAACACTAGGAACAAATACAGCTTCAGGCTTCTCTGTTACAAATTCAAAGCAATGAATGGCTCTGATAACCATTTAGAGCCATACCTCCACTGAACACATGCAGAAGTTTCATCTGCAAGATGAAAGATTCACCAAGATTCATCTGCAACAAAGACCATACTGTTCTAATGAGTGAGGATGAGGGATATAATTTGGGCATAATTAGTATTCAGGTCAGATACACCAGTACAAGTTCATTTTCAGAAATCTTGTGTGATAATCCCACTTTTTTCCAGCAAGAACCAATCAAAGCACCAGCAGAACCTGAACCAGGCTCAGCTGCTGAGGGCTACTGTTTAGCTGTCAAGTCTCAAAGCCAAGGAAACTTTCAAGCCAATACCGTATTTAGACAGAAGTACTTCCACTTTGGAGCAAGACTTCAGAGCACACGAAGCCTGCCATGCACACAGTTTGTGTTGTTTACCTCAGTTCAGTAAGTCTTATCTTTGTTTATTCACAAAGCTGGTATATTAGATTGGACAGCAGTTGCATGCTCCAAGATGGTTTGTTTTTCATATTGTAAGTTTGGTCTGTTAAAGTAACCATTCATGTTCTTTTCCTAAAAAAAAATTTCCTATTAATATCCTAAGGTATCTTCTTCTCTCTTGCTACTACAGGAGGTAGACTAATATAGGGCTCTCCGCTCTGTCTTATGACATTAACTGTAGATGAAATGCCAAGCACTGTAACAATTATATTTTAAACCCTGACCATTAGTAGACAATTCAATAGCCTGAAAAAAGCAGAATTATCCTGCTATCAACAAGCATCATCAAATTAGACAAGAACTTATGAGTACTGCTGTTTTGACAGACTGCTTTCAATGCTTGGTATCTAGTTACTTTTGAACTGCTGTTATTAAGACAAAGCAAAAGCTCATCAAACTTTTTAGCAATTCAAAAGGAGTTCTGACCAATGTCAGAGACATTCTACCAGAAGACAAATAATTTTTTGTGGCTTTTTTTTTTTTAATATAATCAAAGTTCACATATTTAGATAAATACAGCCTACATATTTGTGAGAGAGTTACTGTTTTACTGTCTAGTATGCTTTCCATAAATCCATTAATACCATTTCCAAAGTTCGGAAGAATAACAGCAAAGCAATTGTAGAAAGTGTGTTTGTTTTTTTAATGACAGATGCCTGCTGCTTGCCAGCTATTACGCTGCTTTGCGGTTTTGGTCAACATTTACCTGCATTGCCACAGGAAAGTCTGTCTGTGCCTCAGGTGGGAAAAACACATCAACAGCTTTCTTAACAAATGGCTGATTTCCAGTAGCTGGTTGACCCACTTCAATTATGTGAAGCTAAGAAGAAAGAGTACACATCACAAGATCACTAGCAAATCCAGTCAGATGAAAGAAGTTTCAAATCTTCAGATAAGCTGATGAAGTCATCTGTCACCCTTGGCCACTAAATATCTGTCCAATTCAGAAATACTCTGGAGAACTGTGCTCCAGATTTTTATGAGAGAAAAAAGAATAAAGTTAACCAGAACTTAACAATGTAAATACCAGGAAAAGCTAAAGAATGTCTTCTATAAAAGCATAGTGTATATTTCTATTTCAAGGCACTCAACTTGTTCCAGACGTTTTGAGTGAGTTTGTCAATTTATCAACAATGTGTAAAATATAAGAATGAAAGAATAAAAAAATTGTAATGTGACCTCCGCCCTTTACAGACTGCTAACAAACATTGTAGGATATTGACCTGCTGTTGAGTCTCACTATCAGTTACATACAAACCTACCCAAGCTGCTAAGGCTTACTTAGTCTCTTCTAAATTTTAGACATAAATGGCTACTTTATGACTTGATTTCATTACACAAAACATAACGTGACCATAACTCAATGCTTTGATCTCAGTTCTTATTACATCTACATTGGTTCTTTTGCTTAAGCTTTACTAAAGGAATTCAGCCTTTTAGCAGTTTCTATTATATTAAAATAAAGCATTTACATACCAACTGAATATACTGCATGTATGGTTCACAAGCTGTTCTTCAGTCAGCTGAATGTGATTGCTGAAGTTCTACTAGTAATGAGATGTGCTATACCAGAACAAGAAAACAGATGCAAACTTTACCTTGCCTCCTGCAGGACTCCTCACAGCAAAACAAAAGAGGGTGGAAGGTTTGGCATTTCCATCTATTTTGAATTCTGCAAAAGCTGCTGCATGGCCCTCTATAGGTTGGGAGACTTTTCTATCAACAGAGTAGAGCTGCATTGCACCAACCACGCGATTTTGCTAGAGGAAAAAGGAAAAACATCAGCTTTTAGAGATAACATTTCAAATATTTATAGAACAAGACTTTAGGGACAGTCACTTAAAGAGAGACAACTGCCACTCACCCCTTCCACCAATGTTTTAATCATATTAAAGGTCAGGTTAGTCTTCCAAAATAGGAATTTTTGAAGCTTTGATCTACAGAAACTAAAGTTAAGAAATTACAGCAGCTATAAGCAAAGGAAAATGGAACAAAGCTCTCCTGACCATTTTCTTAGCATGATAATTCCAGGTAACTTACCTGCGCTGAAATTCCTATCAGTAACAGCCATTTTTGATGTTCATCAGTTCTGTAATTGATGATTTGGCAGCCTGCAAGACTAGCATGCCTGTCAAACATCTTTTGGGGCTGAGATTCTCCCTCCATGCTCCAGTGGTAGACTGCTGTCTCTGTCACCAAGGCAACTGTATTCACAGATATCCATTTCCAAAAGATCACCTCCTCTGCCATAGCGTGGGCTTTCATTTTACTTTTCATTTCAATGTTAAAAATCTGTAGTGTTTTTCCAGCTGGTATGACAAAACCCAAGAAACATCATTGATCAATTATTGTAATAACCATCCTGTAGTTTGCCTACTTACAATTCTGCTTAAGCTGCTATTCTGGTGATCTTACAGGCAGAGTTAATGTTACATGTTACACCCAAGCGTACTTTGATACTAGACTTGTACCAAAATGGAAACCCTTCCCAACCTTTAACTTCCTCCAGCCACGAAGCAAAAGAGTCTTCATGGACACCTACGTGACATTCCAACCAACAACTGACAAGCAAAAGCATTCTAACTAAAAGGTGTAGTTAATAAACTATCTAAGCTATATATAATAAATAATAAACTATAAGATATCTATGTATGGATAGTTATAAGATATCTATGTATGGATAGTTATAAGATATCTATGTATGGATAGTTATAAGATATCTATGTATGGATAGTTATAAGATATCTATGTATGGATAGTTATAAGATATCTATGTATGGATAGTTATAAGATATCTGTAAGATAATAAACTATCTAACCTATATGATTTACTTGAGTAAATTCTGGTTTACGTAGGAGCACTGGGATATCAAATTATAGCTGTCTAACTGATGTAATTTAGTATAATAGAAAGAATGGCTCCAGTTTGCGTCAATTTAGTAGCTTTTGTAGATCACCCAGACTGAAGCCAGCAGCAACAGACTTGCAACAGCTCTTGAAATAGCTAGACCATGGCTTTTGTGGGTTTTTTTTTGTTTTTTTTTTTTTGTTTTGTTTTGTTTTTTGTTTTTTGTTTGTTTGTTTTTTGCTTTTTTTTTTTTCCTGGAACCAAACAGGCTCTGCACTTAACTGGGAAATGGATGGGCTCTGTAAAACAGTAGTACAAACTACCTGCTGGAGAGGCTTTTAAAAAGGTCAGAAAGTTTATAAAAAGGCTTGGAGCTTTAGTTCTATAAAAGATTATTGTTTCACAATTTGGGTAACTATGCTGAAATTTTAAGCTGGACTTCAGCCGTTCTCTGAATCACCAGAAGAAGCAAGGGTAGATTTACAACTTATATAACTGAGACAAATCCTTTTCAAAGAATAACGAATTCTATGTCTTGCAGGAAGTCAAAGTGTTATTTTACTTAACTTCAAATAAGAGAATTTAGCTCTAGGAAATACCATTTACTGTTCACAAGACACCCACTCAGACCGCTAGAGTATTGGTTTGTATTTCCTTTACTTGCATATTTCTGAAATGTCCTTTCTGGGTAAAGAACTGCCTGATGGTCAGATGCAGAGAGTGGTGGTAAATAGAGTCACATTCAGCCAGCAGCCAGTCATAATTAGTGCTCCCCCAGGGTCAGTACCGGGGCCTGTCCTCTTTATTGATGTCTTGGATGAGGGCTTTGAGCGTACCCTGAGTAAGTTCACAGATGGCACCAAGTTGGGAAGAAGTGTCAATCTGCTTGGGAGTTGGAAGGCCCTACAGAGGGATGTGGACAGGCTGGATAGCTGGGCTGACGCCAATGGAATGAACTTCAACAAGACCAAATGCTGGGTCCTGCACTTCGGCCACAACAACCCCAGGCAATGCTACAGGGTTGGGGCAGAGTAGCTGAAGACTGCGTAGAGGAAACAGACCAGGGGGCATCAGCTGACACTCAGCTGAAGATGAGCCAGCCATGTGCCCAGCTGGCGACGAAGGCCAGTGGCATCCTGGCTTGTATCAGCAAGAGCAGGTAAGTAATCAGTCCTCTGTACTTAGCACTGGTGAGGTGACACCAAGTACTGCATTCAGTGTTGGGCTCCTCATGACAAGACAGACAGTGAGGCCTTGGAGTGTGTTCCAAGAAAGGCAACAAAGCTGGTGAGGGGTCTTCTGAAGCACAGGCCTTATGAAAAGCAGCTGAGGGAGCTGGGATTGTTCAGTCCAGAAAACAGGCTCAGAGGAGACCTTATTGCTCTCTACAACCACCTGAAGGAAGGCTGTGATGAAGTGATGGTCAGCCTTTCCTACCATGTAACTAGCAAGAGGACTAGAGGGAATGGCCTCATGTTGTGCCAGAGGAGAATCAGACTGGAAACACTTCTCCAAGAGTGGTCAAGCACTGGAACAGGCTGCCCAGGGAGGTGGTAGAGTCACCAGCCCCAGAGGTGTTCAAGAAATGCTTAGATTTTGTACTGAAGGACACAGTTTAGAGGGAAATACCGGCAATAGGTGGACAGTTGGACAGGTAATCTTAGAGGTCTTTTCCAAAGTTTGCAATTCTATGATTCTGCAATATTGGAAAGATAGATGTAAGCTGCTTCCAAGAGATAATAATCCCAAGCTAATACCTATCTGATTGCTTTGTAAAAGTCTAGAATAACATACACATTAAATTGATCATAATACTTTAACACAGTGCCAAAACACAAAGCAAGACTTCAGAGTTACTACATGCTGAATTTATGCTCCTCAGATTAACAGCAAGCAGATCTATTAATCTGATCAGCTAGCTCCAGTGACGGCCTGTGAGCTTTATTTAGACAAAAAGCAGCCTTCTTCTGATCATGCTGCAACTTCTGCACATGCAGTTACTGTATTATATGCATGCAAGAAGCACCTAGGCAAAAGACTAGTGCTATCAAAGCACTGACACCTATAGTGGGCTATAGTGTGTGGCATCCAGAAGACAGATAAGCAGTTCAGAAAGAGCACTAGTTCACCATCTAAACAAGAACGCCAGTATGTGCATACAGAAACTGCTTTGTCTTGCTCAAAAGAAAGCAAGACAACCCTAGCTTTAAGAATACGGAAATAATAAGCTACAAAATTACCTAAAAGCTTGTGCTTGTCTATTTTCTAGAATAAAAAACTGTTGTAATATAGTTGGAAATTGCTTTAAAGGCTTCATCAGTTGACTAGCTCTGATGGTGATCAAAAGGTCCCCAGCAATATTATTTCTTAAGTTTGGCAATACAGTTTCAAGCTTCAGAGCTCTAAACTGTAATTAAACCACAGTAATTCAGTTATTTGGATTAAGAGAGAGAGAGAGGAACCTGCACTAAGATCACAAACAGCATGGGCAAGTGACTGAGTCTTCTGTGAACTTGACTGCTTTTTCAGGCCAAAACCTGAGACAAAGAGCCAGACTTCCATGGGTTTTCCTTATCAAGACACCAGACTGATTGGTATATTTAAGGTAATTCTCTGCAGATGTAGTCAAGGAAGATGGGGTTTTTGATTGCTGCACACTGGCACAAGAATTTACATTTCAGTTCACCAGAACATTAAGTTTCTCCATTCTGTAAAGAATGGAAGAATGCCTTGAGTACTGCATCCTTCACTTGTAACAACTGGAGACTACTTTCAGTGCAAAGCAAAGCAACAGAACCTTGGAACAAGGATAAAGCATGAAGCTTGGTAATGCCAGGAGAATGCCACATGCAATCCAGAAATTAAACAGTTCTTGAGTTAAAATGAGAGTATGCACTGTTTCATTCATTGTTTGAACAGGATCGTATGTTAATTGCTCAGTAATTCTTGGATAATGAGCAGCTCCCAGTCACAGTACACTCAGTCACAACACACAACAGTTTTAACTAGTGATGCCTCAGCTACTGATGCTTGTCAGTCAGAAGGGAAAGTCTATTGTGACAGGCTAACTTCAACCATGTCTTTGGTGCAGTTTACTGTAATTCTACCAGTTATCTTGAACAAGAGCATGTGGGCTAGGTGGCTCTATTAGTTCTCTTTTCTCCTTTAATCTTTGGCTACTAGACATGATATAAGAAAAGCTCTAAGTTTGCAATACCTGGCAATTTTGCAAGTCCATGTGACATCACACAAATAACTTTGTTCAGAGGACAAATTTACTCACTCTGCATGGACAGGATGATACTTTTCAGCAAGTCTAACACTGGCAAGAAAAGTGATATTGTTACAATCTGATGATAATCTGTTCAGTTAGCATGAATAGATGAGTTTTAAAAACAGATGATCCTGTTTCCTTAAGAGCTAGATTAAGTTCTGCTAGTACAAAAAAGGCACTTTCCCTGCCAATAAGGTTTGTTAAAAGAGGTCTGAAGTTAAGGATAGTGAAATCAAATAAATCTGAAATAAATCTGTACATTGTTGACTTAAATCATATCCCAAGTAATGCAGTCCTTTGCAAGATGTAAAAGCATCTCAACTAAACCACAATTACAGCTCAAGTCAAATGTTAACACATCAGTTCTCACCTAATGTCAGTGTAAGTCCAATATTATAGACAGCAAGATACACATTTTGTGTCAGTTTGAGGAATGTTATTTCTTAGACCCCTACAGAAATTCATCACAGATTTTCACACTGGATATCACATTTAGGAAGAAATGAATAGCACACAGGACCCGCTAACAGAAGTCTCTCGAAAGTACTGCACGTGGTTTTGTCTATCAACTGTACTTCCATTGTATATATTCACACACACACACACAACACTCTTCTCCTCCACTTGGTACAGTCAATAGTCAAAACAGACAAATGAAGACTAAGATCCTCTATATGGCTATGAAGTGAACTGTCAAATGGCTATCTCAAAGTTCAGTACTTTTTATGAGATTAGACCAGTCTGTAGTACTAAACATGAAATAAAGTTCACTCGCCATCTGTTTACATAAGATGCAAGAAGAAAATACATAGCCAGTGACAAGTAGTTATTGAAGCTAAGTACTAGAAATTACTCATCTAAGAAAAGAAATATAGTAAAAAATATTTGGGGGGAGCACTCAGACCTAAAAACAAAACAAACACCACATGTGAGGTCTTCCGTCTGTAGGTTCTCAAGGTTATCAAACTAAACAAATTCATGCATTCAGACTTTCATGCTGTCTCATGTAGTTACTGGCCAGCCTTATAACAATTTGTTTGTATCCAGTAAGCACTTACAGCAAAGGTAAGTACAGAGCAGAGGGCACGAGCAGTTTTAGTCTTTCCCCACTCATCCCTACAAGAGTCCATTATTCTCTGAACATCCACTTGTACTCAGTGAAAACATCAGGCAGCAGTGCCAAGCATCTCTCACCTATTGGTAGGCAAACCATCCAAACATTACTGAAATATTCACAACCAAGATCTAGCAGGCAAGATATTATTTTACTGTACTTTCTTCGTATAAACCTTACACAGCTCTTATGCTTCAGAGCTTACATGAGCAATAATGAAGCTAAATAGTAGTTTTCATATTACAAGAGTAAAGGGTTACTCACCTTTTAGTGCAATTACTTTAGAGGCTGGATTCATGATGGCACTTTCAGCAGAAATTGGACGTCTGATAGGTGATGTTGGATCACTCATGTCAATTATTACTACTTGTGCCTGCTCTCCCACTTTCTCCCTGATGCAAATGAACTTGTCAGATTCCATTGTTAGGGTGCTGAATCCAATGTTTGCTGGGTTAATGCCCAAATTTTGGAGCTAGAAAGAGGGAACGGTCCTTTAATATTCTTATAATGAAGATTTATCTGTCTAACTTAAGTTCCTGTACATAAGATCCCCTCCTGCTATCTCATCTGATCCCTTGTTTCAGTTGCTCGCATCATACGTAGAGACAGACTTATTTTCTTCTCCCTCTAGAAGGGATCGATATTGCAGAATTCCCATAATATTTAAGGAAGGCATCAGTAGTTCAATTACCAGTCTAAGACAGACTGTTACATTGATCTGAGTATACTCAGGAACTGGTAAGTACTGAATTAGCACCACTTATCTTCACAGGTTTTACTTCAGCTTCTCTGCTCAAACAGATACTGTAACAAGCATACCAAGGTAAGTTTGTAATGCTGAGTTCCTTCCCAAGGAATGGCCTGAAGACATCAGAAACACTGACTGCAACATCTACAGCATTTATAATACAATTAAAGAAGCAGTCTTAAGTCCTTTAACCTCCCTCCCAACTGTCAACTCCACATCATCTCTTTAGGAAAAGGAAAGCTGAGAGAGCAATAGATAGATGAAAAACATACTTCATTCCAGGGCCTGTCCACTGCAGAGACCACACCATGTCTACCTTGGCAAATCTAGACCACCAGGTTCTATCTTCACAGTACTGCCAGGACTAAAAATTAGGATGTAAGCCAACTCTTATTTTCATCTGCAGACAAAGTGCATGATTAGCAATGCCTTCTTTTTATCCATCTTTAAAAGCCAGACCAGTTATCCTCAGGGTACCCTAACCCCTGACTGGAAAGACTTGGATGGGGAGCAGAATAAAAACGCCCTGACTCAGGTGGAAACTGTTAGAGACCTGCTGCTCCACCTGGGCTGCAACAAGTCCATGAGGCCAGATGGGATCCACCTGAGAGTGCTGAAGGAGCTGGCAGAGGCGATAGCCAAGCCACCAACCATGGAGGTGTTCAAGAAACATTTAGATGTTGTACAGAGGGACATGGTTTACTGGGAAATATTGGCAATACATTGACAGTTGAACAGGATAATCTCAGATGTCTTTTCCAACCTTGGTGATTCTGTGATTAGCAGGTCCAGGCATCCCCAATTCAGGTTAGAATATCTCAGACACATCTTTCCTCCTTTCCTTTGAGTATAGCACCAAGTGCTTTCCTTGAAGCACACAGTAACCTGAATGCATTGGAATTGCAGTCATAGCTTGTGTTTATACAGCATTTATGCTACCTTTTTTTACCTGGTAACAGCTACCATGGCTTGTTAAAATATACCTTCTGTTACATCAACCAAAATGTGAATGCTACCGTAGTGATATTTGCTAATTAAGGTTTCAGATAAACCTCTAGACATAGTCAATACAACAATAGGAATGTTGTATGTGTTGTATGTTGTAATCCTATGTTACAATCATACCAAATCCAAATGTTTTTGTTTGGGTTTTTGTGTGTGTGTTTTGTTTGCTGCTGCCGTTGGGTGTTTTTGTTTGTTTAGGTTTTTTTGTTTGTTTAATTTGCAGCTACTTCCTGCTATCCAGCCTCTTCCTTCTTCTCCCAAAGAAACCAGCACTAAAGCCTCCAGGTTATTTAATAGCTTTAGTAGAAATGCTGGGTGACTGCAAAAATAATGCAGTTCAGCACTATTTTCAATGGCCTAATTTTGTAAGTGGACTTGTTCATCTCACTCCTCTGAACTTATTCTTACTATTGCAAGCTAAGTAAAGTGTTAAAATAACCACTTATTCCATCTTTCTCTGCCTAAGTAGTCACATCACTTAGATTAACAGCACAAGCAGGGATTTCAATGTAGATGCCTCCTCACCACTTATGGTCAATCACCTGCGTTCAAGCACATGACAAACTAGCTATTCTTAAAGTAACTTCAAGTCATTCCGTATCTCTGAGTAGATGCCTAGATTTCTCACTTTCACTCATCTTCATTAGCTTTGTCTCCATCCATTTCCAGTGTCAGATTAGTCAGAAGAGGCAGCAGTGAAGGTGAATCAGTGTTTCAACTAGTCTGTAATATCTCAGATTTAGCAGTGCCTAATGCAGCAACTTGGTATGGTCGTAAGCTACATTTCATGCAACAGTAACTGTGACAAGCCCAAGGACCTGCTTCATGCCCCAGAGCACAGATTTTCAAGCAAAGGAACAGCAGTATCAGTTTTATCCAAGCTTCTTAAGAGATTAACCCCGTCCTACAGTCCAAACTCTGCCCTGCACCATCATGGCAGCAGCTATTCCCTGCTGAACAAACAGCCTGGCTCTGCCCCAGGCACACACCCATCTCTCAGCAACAGCCAAACATCAGAGTGCAACAGGCACTGTCTAGGCCATAGGGAGGATGCAGTGTAGTGCTAACTCAACTTACGGCAAATAACTTCGTATTTTGATACATCGACTAAACACAGTCCTGGGAAAAGTGAAAAATATGCAAAAAACAAAAAAAAAAAATTGCTTTCTGTTTTGATACAGACATTTGGGAATAGTTTTCAAGAGGGCTGCTCCAAAAGTAATGCCTCCTATTTTATTATATTGGCCCACAACATTAGAGGGAGACATTGGTGCCATGGTAGTAGAGTTTGAACCTTCCTGCCAATATTCCATTACATTTCACTGCTGGGCAACAGATGGCAGCAGAAGGGCAATCTCACAAAATGGTGTCTGACATGGAAGTGCGTATGAAGCAAAGTTGAGGAATTCAAGTCCTCTAGGGAGGAAAAAAAACATCTTCCACTGAAGCATTAATCAATGCTTCCTGAACATTTATTGAGACCAGTTTATGTGAGCACAGTGTGGGAGTGGATGGTGCATTTCAGCAGTGGCAACAGCAACAGTGGTTCAAACCCACAGGTGCGGACTTTCACAAGCATAGCATGCAGGCTCTTCATCACTGGCAAAGATGCACAGCTACTGGTTGTGATTTTGTTGGAAACAGGTGTTCTGTAGTTCCAAATTTGCTCTCCCAAACACTGTTACTATGCTCACTGAATCTCTTGTAGTTTTCATGGACTTCAGGACCAATCTAGTGTCACAAGCTGTTCAGTATGTTCTGATCTGGCTGATTGTTTCAGGGTACATTTGAATCTGAGACAGGATGTCTCAGGAGCAGAGGCAAGCAAACTATGCACTCAGAGCAGCACAGAGGGTTACAAGTTTTAGTCAACATATACACATATACACACACAGGCATTCATTTTTAGATAATCCTTGCAAGCAGGAAGCAGAACCTCCCTAAGCAAGTGCACTATTACTTTCTGACCCTTGAGAGACAGCAAATCACCAAAAGGAGAGAGAAAGACTATGCTGGCAGTGCACACTGTAGGCAGCACCAGCTGGGCATCCCCTGCTTCAAAGGGCACTTTGCCTTTCATCCCCTCTGCAATCGCTCTCCTGCTTTGATTTCCCCAGGGTCTTCAAGGTTTGTTCCATTGCATGCTGTGCCCATGCAGCCAACACATAATACAGAGCCCAAGAGGAACAACTGTTTGCAAAACAAGCCTTTGCATAAACAAGATAAACTACCAAGGTCGGCTCTATCTACAAAACAAGATACTTGCAGCTACAGCTACAAATATCAGTTCCCTTAAAACAGAACGCTGTTTCATCCCAGGATCATTCTTCAGTCAGAGGCTGTTAGGTCCCCAACACACTGACCATGGCTTGTTGCAGCTTATGTAAAGCTACTAACCCATAAATTGGGTACGTAACTGAGATAATGCAGCACTGCATTGGAGCCATACCCAAGAAAAATCTCAGGAATAGTTTTCAGCTTACTAAAGAAGAGTTATTCAGCTTAGTAGTTGCTAATCTTGACATACATAAGCTTCAGAAATGCAATACAAGCTAAATGTATGCATGTGTAAGATGATATCTGAAGAAGGAACAAACACATCAGCACAACAATCAAGACCCATTCAGCTGTATCCTCAGTTTATAGATACATACTTCTATACAAGCTAGTAAACAGAAGTAGGTGCCATTCATGCCAAAAGGTTATCAAAGTTTAGACACTAAAGTATCAGAAGCAACTTGTAACTAGAGCTTCAAGAACTGTCCAGAGAGCATGTAGCTATTACAGGCTTCTGTATCAATAAGGTAAAATGTCTCCACATTAAGAAGATTCATGCAATAGGAAAGTTTGTTACTCAATAAACGCTCAAGTAGTAGCCAAGTCATCTATGACCCTGAACAAGGAGTATAAGCCATAGTCCCTTAGATTCAGTGTTCCTGATTATATGCTCTAGACTTGAAAACATCCACTCACTGAAAATTACGCATTCACGCTTCGGTGTTGGGCATGAAATCAGTTCATCTGCCAAAATATAACCTGTTATGAAAGATGATAAAGTGAAGCATCACAAGTGATTTAACCATACGATAGCCAAGCTTGTCTTGCTTTAATTAGCCCTAACTCAGAGCACTGAAGTAGCACACAGCCTCTCCAATGCCTCTTTTCAGATACTGTGCTACAGCTTGACATCCTCTTCATGACAGCCACTTGACACTCTGTACAGTGAGAATCTTGAGGTATTAGTCTAGTTCAAGTTCAGCTTTTAAGCCCAAACTTACCCCTTGCAAAACCTGGTCCCTACTGAAGAACCATAATGTTTTAAGTATCTTTACTAAGAAATAAGTTTTTGCCTCAAATTCTGGCATAACTTCCTGTTCTAACTGCCATAACATCTACAGAAAGTTTCAGAAATTAACTATACATGGTGTGTAACTATTGCTGCCATCCTCTTATTAGGCTAGCAAGTAAACTTCTTAAGGCAAAAATATTACTATTTCTAAAGGATGGTCATGTAATTACTGCCTCAGTTAATAAAAAAAAAAAAAGCTTCTTATTTTTGCAATTTGAAAGCACTGAAGGTTTACTTCCATCAGTGCAACAGTAAGCATCCATATTAGAGGGCAGTGCTCCATGGAAACTGTTCAACAAGCATGTTCCTTATGACTACACATAAGAACAGGAGCAGATACTCTTTACAACCATAAGAAACAAATATTTAGCCAGCACTGCTTCTTTCACTGTAAGTATGAATGACCCAGATAACTCATCTAATATTACTATAGACTAGATTAGATCATTGCCTATCAAACAATTTTAAGAATGTTAAGATACTGATAACCCCTGTAATGATAAAAAAAAATTAGCCAGAGATATATTATTTAAATGCCACAAGTAGGATAAAATGTGACTATTCACCTGAAATTTAATAATTTTTTTCCCCTTCCAGTTTACTGATGCTTGTAATATGAGAATTTTAATAAGCATTGGGCTTTCTAGTGCTACTCTCTTTCTGCAGAAAAACAGTGATCTAGACCGAACCAGCAACAACCAACTCAGACATTGACACAGTCTTCAAGCTAAATCCCTCTCTCTAGTGGTAAGTTCTTATGACTAACCTACTGTCTGCCTAGTACTATCTCCAAATACTTGGGACATACCATCAGCTAAATGCTGGAGCTCACGTAACTTGATGGGGTTCAGAAAATATCCCACTTCAGCTTAGTTCCACTCAGCTCTAACGGAAACACTTTTCAGAGGTTTCAATTAACAGTTGCTTCAATCCCACTACAGAAGAGTAAGACTTGGACAGAGGCTATGGGTATCTAAATATTAAGCACTAGAAGCTCTGTAAGAACATATCATTTAAAGCACAATACAAACTAAGAACACGGTAGTAATTTCTCAGGGCACTTATGTAGCTTGTGTAGTTATATAAAGTTAAAACAACACGCCCAGTAAGGAACTGTATATAGCCATCAGACATCCTGTCCCCACTGCCAGCCCCCTTGTTGTTGCTCCCCATCTTGGTAGGCAAGGGACATCAAGGAAGCACATGTCAGCTGAAACATGCAAGACCACAGGATCAAGTGTTTAGTTATAGCTGCAATTACACTTTTCTCTAATAAAAAAAAAAAAAAAAAAAAAAAAAGTCACTCCATATACAAACCCAATCCTGTATGTCAATAATGGTGATTAGATCATCTGTTCAAAGAGTCTCTACACACACAGGGTACTTCCCAATCCTTTGGGCAAATATGGTCTCCTCAACACTAAATAGCTGAGTCACCACAATATTTAGCTCTACCTTCTGAATACAAGTCCAAGAAGTTATTTACAGCTGGAATCATCCTGAATGCTTTTACATTCACATATGTCTAGCCAAAGCAAACTTTGGAAATCCATTACAGCTCAGCTTAATCATGCCTATTGCCTCAGGCTATTTCATGCCCACAACAGACAGTAATCCTTAAGAGGAGATCTCAGACTAATCAAAATAAAGTGGTTTTGCCCATGAAGTGACAGAAGTAAATCTATATCACTTTAAGACCAGATTTTAGCTTCTCAGTACCAAACTAAAATGTATAGAATTTATACATAAAGGATACAAAACATGCACACAGGTTTTTTCAGCTGTTTGTGCTTAAGAGTTTGCATTAGTTACTCCAGAGAAAGCAGAAACCTGCCTATTGATCACTGTACCTGTCCATTTACAGGACAAAGAGCCAAGAAATCCAAGACTTTGCATAACTGTTGTTTTCTCTACAGGGCTAGCTGAGATTTTTAATAGTGAGAGATAAAAAATAAAGGACGACATTCAGCTTTTAAGAACAAGCCTATGATTAAGTAAAGGAAAGTTCGACTTCAGACCTAGAACATTTTGTTCACTGAATTCCAGTAATGTCAGTCCCACTCTGCTTGTATTTAGTCTTTTATGGCATTCCTATTCATAGAATCATAGAATTGAGGTTTGGAAAACATCTTAGAGATCATCAAGCCCAATGGCAAACCAAACACATGGTAAACTGCAATCCAGTAAATAATTTATAATCCACTGCTCCAACAGAAGCACTGGAATTAAGAATCCAATTATATCCTAATAGTACATCCCAGCAGTTCATCATTACAGCTATACTTCTGTTACAGCTGATCAGCTACTAGCTTATTGCCAATCCTTGTTGTAGGACTTAAACTATTATAGTCTCTGAGGGAAGAATAAGCAAGTTCTTTGGGGAACTGTGAACAGTTTACAACTAAAAACAGTATCTTAATTGCGTTATGTGGACCTAAACAGTAAGACTTGAGGCAGTATTAAGCTGATCAATTTCTGTATCTCTTACAGTAGCTACTGTCTCCTCATAAGCTCATACCAAGGTTGAAGGTGCAAGCTGTAACAACTTCTAATTTCACACACACTGTGACTAGCGTACATTCCTCCTGCACAGCCTTGGAGGTACAGTTCAGTTAGAAAAATTATCAACATAAAACAAAACAAGCTGCATGAGGAATGTAAGCAGTCTACCTAATACTCCTTCAATTTTATGTGAACCAAGATCACAGTTTTTTTTCCCCACACTTGTTCATCCAGGCAGAGACTGGGAGAGTTCAGTACTTAGCACCACAACTTGTTCAGCTTCCCCAAAGACCACTTCTTGCGTACTTCATTTCTCCTTTTAGCTGAGTATAGAGAAGACTTAGTATAAGGGAAATAAGGTTCCATCAGCACCAGGCTGAATCTGAAATTGAGTAACCAGCTACTCTAGCTACTTACAAACATACTAATTAAAATATCTACAGATAAGCAGTTCAGTTTGAATTGAGATGCAGAACAAATCAATATAGAATTACTGATACACAGCAGTTATAAGAAACTGTTTTTGATTTAACATCATAAAGCAGTGTAGTAGATCTGTCATACTACTCATTTCAAATATGACAATTTAACTGTAGCCAAACCTATTCCTTGGAAGAAATCCGAGAAGAAAAAAAAAAAATTAAGCTGGATGATAATGAAGCATTATGAACAGGAGTGAAGGCCTACTCTTGTCATAAGAAAACTCCCTACTGGCCAACAAGGAGCAAGGAGCTAACACATCTAGAGTAGACACATATAATGTAAGTTAGAGTTGATAAAACCATACTTCATATATCCAGCCAAAACAAGCACGACCAGCTCCCACACGTCTTCTGATTCTCCCCATTACACTTGTCATGTAAAAACAGGTGCTGAAGTAACACTAAGGAGACTGATGAATTCCTGTCCCAGTCACTAATCTTAGTTTCCTAGTGTGGAACACTGCTTTGGAGCCACTGCTCTCAGACTGAGGGAGTGGAAGTGGAGTGGGGAGGCGTGAGCCCCACAAAACAATCCTGTTCAACACATCAGTGGCATGGTCCTAAGGTTTCCCACACTCCCCTGTACAGTCCGCTCCAGCACAGGCTCAGTCCTCCCAATAATATCATAACATTTAGGAGCAAAAGCAGGTGGTGGCAAAAAATAGCATGTGACTTCAGTAGGACTCCCTGGGGAAGTTACTAGCCCCAGTCTCAAACCAGAAGTGCTCTAATGCTCACACAGACAGTGTCGTAAGACAGAACTTAGCCCTCAGAAATAGTCATGTAACATGCAAAGCAGGACACTACACCTATAACATCAACCATAACATCCACTTATCACTGCACAGCCAAAAACAACCAACAGGATCAGTGACACCTGCTAGCTTTAAGTTGTGAGAACCAAATGCTTCTTTCTAAGGTGAGCCCGACATTAAAAATACCTTGAATCTTCACTTTCTTACTCAGACAGCTGCCCTTTACCATGAATTAATTGTATGACAGCAATCGCTACTATCCTGTAGGGTTAAGGGGGGAGGAGGAGTAATTCTTCACTATATTAAACTCAGCTCCAGTGAGTAGGCAGGTGTGTGCTCATGCTGGCACAGAGCAGATATTTCTGGAACTCATTGCCCAATCATTTTTTCCAGCCTTGGTCTCCTCCCAAAATGACCAAGGCAGTTCTCACAGTCACCCAAAATCCCTCCCCAAAAAGGAACTACAGTAGTACCAAGTCTCCGAGAGGATGGGTCTACAGTTCATTTTTGAGATGAAAGACTGATTTGACAGAAGGCTGGGCAGAGATAGCAGAATGACTTGCCAACTCCACTTCCTGTTCCCTCATTCATTTAGAGAATTCCTTTAATTCTTTCCTGCCTTACACTGCATGCTCGCTGCCTGTTGTTCTCCCACTCCGTTTCTAACCCTTCTTTAGCACCAAGTTAAGAAAGGAACAGAGAAACCGGCTTGGCTGCACGGCACCCATTAGAGATGGACCTCTTCCAGCACTGATGCTACTCATAGGCCATCAGAACTGCGCCGTTTTGAAGAAGGGCTTTCTTTCTTTTCTATATCGTTGTGTTTGGGAGGGAGGCAGAGGCCCTCGGGCGCTCGACCCCCAACCCGCAGCCACACGGCTCCCCAAAACCCGGAGGCTGAAGGTCGCTGTGAAGAAGAGTAAAGCCCCTCGCACCCCGAGAGGCAACGGCTTCCTCAGAAGCGTGGGGAGCCACTCTCCCTTCTCGGAGCGGCCCCGAGTGACTCTGCACAAATCGCGCCCGGCGGTGGATGGGGGCGCTGCGCCCCGCGGACCGCACCGCACGCTCCCCTCACCCCGGACTAGGCCGCGGCCGCCCCTCTCCGAGGTGCACGGGGAGACAGACGGGAACAGCCCCCACCCTGTGTTCCCCGTTCCCTTGAGCTCACCTGGAAGTGCTCCTGGAAACGAATAGGCAGGATCTGAGCCATGGCTAGGGGAAAACTCTCCGGGGATGGGTGCGAGGAACAAGAGATGGAAATAAAGCGGATGAGAGGGCACAGCTGCACCCCGCACAAGGCGAGGAGAAGCGCAGGGGGACAGAGCTGGGAAGGGGAGGGGGAAGAAATGGAAACGAAGGGCGACGCAGGCGCAGTATCCTGACAGAGAATGCGCCCCGCTGCCCTTTTCTGCCTCGCGGGGCCGCTCACTTCGAAGGTGGGATCACTCCGCTCCTCGCAAGTTCCGCCAGGGTCTTCTCAAATAGTCCCGTGCCGCCGCACCTTCCCTCCTGTTTCTCACCCCCTCGTCTCCCGCCTGTCTCTCAGACCGTCACCGCCTTTCCATCCCACATGGCTCGCGCTGAGGAGTGGGGAAACGACTGCCAGGACAGGGGGCTCCTCCGTTCTGGATCGTCAAAGTGCGATATTCTTCCGCAGCGCCCCGAGACCCAGCCCACTCCCCGGCTCCATACGGCGGAAGCGGGCGGGGGTCTGTCCCGCTGACTCCTTGCTCCGCCGGTGGTACGGAGGCTGCCCTTCGAGGCAGGGTCCGATAGCGGTGTTGCTCTGCCCTCAGCGCTACCCGCCACCGCTGACCAAAAGGGAGAGGGGCTGACAGGAGCTGAAGGACGGCTATCGGTGTTGTGGAGCCCGCGCCTTTGAGCTTTGAAGTGGAAACACAGATCTTTCCACGAGATGACATCGTGAATTGGAAAATTGTTGAGTAACTGAGGAGTGAGGGGTCCGATGCAAGCCATAAATCAGAGCTTTCTGTTATTTTAAAACTTTGATCCCCATTGACGACCCATCAAATGGGGGACGCCCCACGCAGCCTAAAGGAGAACCTGGAGGGCTGCAGGTGCTGGGGAACCATGAGTAGAAGGCACAGGGGCAGAGGTGCTGCTGGAGGAAGAATTAGGAAATACTTCTCAGAAGGAGTGATAATGTGTTGGAACTGGCTGCTCAGGGAGGTGTTAGAGTCACCATCCCTGGAAGGTGTTCAAGAAACATGGAGATGTAGCACTGAGAGATGTAGTTCAGTATGTGCGGTTTGATAGTTGGACACAATGACCTTAGGGGTCTTTTCCAACCTCAATAGCTCTGTGGTTCTGTACAGCCAAATCCCTCAGGAAATCCACTTTCTATGTCCCTCGCTGGTGGTAGGCACCGAGGAAAAATCGAGCCAAGGTGGAGACAGGGTTTTTTTGCTTTATAAAGTCACACAGCTGAGTTGCCTTCACCTGTGCTCACAGGGCTGAGCTGGTCCTTTCCCCAGGTGCTCAATCAGTGGTTCAGACCAGGACTCAACAATTCCCATACACATGCCCACTGGCCAAATCCTGCTAATTACAGCATCCCATCCTTTTCATGATTAAAAAAAAAATAAAAATAAAAAATAAAAAAATAAAAAAATGGCATCTTACTTTGTATATATGTTTTTGGCACTCTATTGTCCACTCATGTTTTCCTCCTAATTTTTGCCTTTTCCATCCAGTTCTGTGTTTAAAGAACTGTTCTTTTAACGTCTTGCTTTGCTGAGCATATAGGTTGGCTTGTTTGAAGCCTGATCAGCTCTGAAACATTGATAGTGTTTGAAGTTTTGTGGTTTTCACCCGTCATTGTGCACATTCCTGGCAGCAGGTTGGTGAAAACAGTAAATACAGCATTTTTCAAAAAATAATCTGAAAGTTTTTATATATATATAATATATATTATATATATAATAATATAATATGTTATATTATTATATATATATATAATTGCTGCAGCACTGTTTAATAGGTGAATGTTTCATGCTTAAATTCCTTCTAGTTTATTCTCCAGCAGAGACATGAGTTTTTACACACATAGCATTGAAAGGAAATCTTTTATGGTGGATTTACTACAGACACTTTCTTCATGAATTTATAGGTCGGTATGTGAAGTCCCATCCTGTATTCCCTACGCATGGAAAGCTAGGCTGGAGATGATAAATTCTAATGGTATTTTATGTAAAAATGAATAGAAGTGTTGAGGGGTAATAGCAATGCAGGCTGGGGATCTTCAGATTCCCCACAGAGCTAAAGCCATGATGGTAATTCACTTGTGACTTGCAAGCAGTACACCTGTCTTTCCTCCAAGGAATGTTTTCATTTAAAGAAGCCATTTCTGTCTCTCTCTGCATAGAGCAGTGACATTTATGCTCCCTTTGTCTCAACATCGTCATTTGGTTCTTCTCTGGACATTCGCATTCTCCAGGTTTGCAATGCAGATGCTGAATTGCTTGAGTGGTAATGTATTGGGCAATTGAAATTGCAACTTCTTCATCTTAGCCTTGTAAAAACAGAGGTCTATTGGTCAGTGATACAAAGCAGAAGAAAGGGTGTGAGAATCAACATCTGTCTTCAAAATCGAGATAGAGGGATCAGGGCTGCTTGCTGCACAAAACTTTTTTGAAGCTGAATTACTTTAGAGAATTTTCTCAGGCAATACATCCATGAAATGGACAGAGATTATATGTTCTTAGAAAATACAACCAGTGAAAAGAAAGGTGGTAAGTAACATAAATCAAATGCTCTTCTATCACTAATTTCACTAGTTCTGGAATGACAGAAACCTAACTGTACCTACAAGTAGACAAAATAGAATCTTAGCCTAAATGGGCTTAAATGCCATTCAGCAGAATAACTAGTCAGCATGCATAAATAGACTATTGGAATAAAAGGCTGGAAATGGTCTAAAGAGGTCTTTAGTTATTACCTCTGCCCTACAGCAAGATTTAGTGAACCAATGTTTTACAATCACAGATTAATAAAGTGAATTAGGAAATACTGACTATATTGACTGTTATGGCCTTTCAGCAATTTACTTCAAAATAGACCCTTGACAAGGAAACTTCAGTGTTCATTTTCTTAACATAATTCTATTTTCCAGGAAACAGAATAAAGCCAAGAAAAGCATAAACCTAATTATATTTGATAGCAGTAAAACATGCAGATGGTAAACAGACTTTTCATTTTCTGTAGGGCCGTTACAATATTCATCCTCTTCAATTAATCCTGGAAAGAAACATTTGCTAAAAACGTAAGCTATGAATTCTCCCTCATCTCCAGGAGCAGACAAGTCATTTATGGTTATGCTTCCACTATGTTTTCCGGTTTGCTCTTTTTCATCATAACAAGATTCCAGACCACTGGCCAAATTCAGCCATGTGATGGAGAGGAATAGACTCAAAGACAATAGATTTCTGCAAGTTTCATGAGAATAGGCAGCCAAAGAATGGAGACTTAATTAGACAGACTAACTGGTAAATCTGTGAAAAAAATGAACCCAAATCATGGAAAAATAAAATCTTTCATCAATGCTTGCACCCTTTTGCATTAATTTTATTATTAAGGAAATGCTTTTTCCACTTTATGCCCAAATTCCTGCTTTTGTAGAAACCTGTATGCTTTTCTGCATTAACTTTAGAGACAAATAGGTTCAGAAATCCTCAACCTCCTCCTGAAAACAGCATTATTTTTCTCAAGTTTACTCTCTTCAAAAACAGGTTCTTAGTAGACCGTGTAATGCTATCTTAGGTAACAGAGCACCCACCCACTTTTCTTTTTACCTCTCCCATTACATTGTAGGATTACAGAAAACTGAAGATGAAATCACTAGTTTTCTTACTCTCATCTTTCTCAGTTGAGAGTTGTTTGTGAAACAGGTTTCAATAGGAGTGCTCCACACTTCATAGTTCTTTGTGATATATACAACCTAAAAGTGATAGACTGGCTTCTCTGGAATTTCAGTCTTAAGTAATATTTTCAAGACACCAACACAGATGTTTCCCAGAGAGGTTCAACAGCCATACACATTGCTACCTTCCAGATTTTTGAGAAAACCTTCCAGATTTTTGAGATTACAACATAGAATAAAGTGTAGGATTTACACAGATATACACAGTCATCAGAACAGTATGTCTAAACCACCTTTAAAAATATTCCTACCAGAGCTAACAGAACCAATATGTAAGCATGTCTTGCTAACTGCCATTAGAATAAATTTAGATGACACAGCGATTAAGATAGCTGTGCCCCTTTATGCCAGTGCTTTCAGTGTAACTGATACTTCTTGCGTCAGGCACATTAAGCAAAGGGAAAAAGCTCTTATGCAGAGGCAGCCTTAACAAATAAGAAAGGGAATTTGTAATCCTGTCTTTTTAGAGTATAGTTAATCTTCTTAGAGATGCACATCTTTTAAGATCTGCCCAGATCACGAAAAAAAAAAGGTGTTTCGTACTCTTGCTTTTTCTATAAGCCTACAAGATATCTACAACAGCAAATCGTAGGACGTCTACAAAAGCAACATCAATTTCAGCAAAATATGCTATGCCACATATGTATCTTTAGAAAATGAAAAGAAAAAAAAGGAAAGGTGAAAACATAGAAAGTAATAATTGAAATATATATTTAGTATTTTGTTGCCATAATTTGCAGATGTTTGGTGTTCATCATAGAGTAATATGACTAGATGAAGCATTAATTTCAAAAGAATGTGTGAAGGTCCAGATAAGCAGTGGCTTTTATTTGTCACCCTCATTCTGCACCAAGAAATACTGCACCCAGGAAGTAAGTAAGTGTCAGAGTTCTCCCCCTTCCGTACTGGCTATCTGCAAATCATTTGCTGAAATTCAACCAGAGCTTGGTGTGAACACTGGATCGAGTAAGGTTGCATTACCAGGGCAAATCCAAACTTTTTGTGCATTTCTATCTGTTGTCATTTTATGAAACATAATTACTACTACTAATAAGCAACTCTTCTTTTGTTTCTTTGGTTAAGCTGGAATGTGAGAGCTAAATAAATGAAAGAACCACAGATTTTGTCTGCCCTCCCGAAGATCTTTAAATATCTACATGCTTCTTTCCTAGCCCAGAATGTTATTGAGAAAACATACACTGTGTTGCCTGATGCAAGAAGTATGTTCAGTTAGCAGATATTGCCAAGTTTGTGCCTGTGAACAGGAGCTTGGATTTGTCTTTTCCAACCTGAGAAATCCTTTGATTCTGTCCGGACTGTGACTGATCATACTCATTCACAAAGCGAGAGAACAAATTGTTGCTAAGAGAGTGGAAATTCTGTGTTCAACCAATAATATCAAAACAGAGATAGCCAAATATAGGCCATAGGATTAAAACACAAAACACAGACTGAATCCACCTTCATTTGTAATATGAAGTCGAACATTCTGGAATGGTCTGTCCCTTCCCTGTCCGACTGCTCTTTTCAAAAACAATGCAGCTGCACTTGCTGGCGATACTAAGACTCTAGTAAATGAGTGGCATGGTCCTGGTGTGGTTAGTCAGGGTTCTCTGACTTGTTTGTATGTTGTCTCCTCAAATGATTAGCTATGAAGCAACAAAACAGCAT